CGAGCTAAAAAATACTTGTTTACAAAGGAATCCTTAGAATAAAATAGCGATTTGAATATACTCGGGTGTTCTATGTTGTTTAGTTAGTTTTCTGTAAATCTCCAAACTCGAGGGCCCAAACACTTAGTCATTTCATTTCGTCGTTTTTCGTCCCTCTTCTGACAAAAACTCAAAACGATTTGAACTAAAGTAGAACATCACTTTAAGTCCTACCATGTAAAAAATTCAATTTTCACAAATTTATCCATGACGAAGATCGGCAAAACACATGAATATTTCATTGTTTGTTTTCCTTCTTGCTCTTTCCCTCTGTGAATTTTATATTTTTGACCTCTTGAGTGCGGGATCTCTCAACCAATAGCATCGTTATCAGTGTGGTCACGGGGTCGACGGAAGGTGAATTTCATGACGAACAGTTGGCAATGGTCATCGTCTGCTTTTAGAATAGGCTATCTGACGTGACGGCTGTGTTTTGAAACTACCTACACTTGGTTGTATACTTTTTTTAATGAATTTGTTTCTGTATAATCGATGAATGTTTTAGCCTGTCTTCAGCGTCGATAATAGTCTAGTAAAAATAAATTCTTGTTTGAGGTGTTATTAAACATCAAGTCTTCAGATAAAACTTACAAAACAACAATGGGATAAATAATACAAATTAGGTTACCCTGAGTTAATTGAGCTAATACCCTATTATTTTAGTTACGTCGAGCTGATCGTGTCTTGCTATTAACAACGAACATCACGAAATAGTATGGTCTTTGAGGAACTGATCAGCTGATTTATAGGTAAAAGCATAGACAAAAATAATTCTCTTTGTCTATGGTAATAGGGAGTAAAATAACGTAAAAATAACCCACCGATAGAAACGTGCTGGACGAGGAAGTAATAGGTGACAAAAATAATAGTATTTCACCTTTTACCTAAGGCATGTTTCTGACTATTACGAAGTAACGGTATTTCCCATTTGTATGATACATTAACTGATGAAGTCAAGTGATGATACTATAATTCAGTGTGATAGATATCACGCCGTCGCGTCGTCAAGGTCAAGTTCACGTTTACTCAAGGTCACACACAACACGTGGTAGCGGCAATGTAGCGGTGACGCGGTCCTCTCCAGTCAACTAAATACCCCCGCCGCAGCAAACCTCCAATCAGACAAGACGAATTTCCATTTCTCTGATTGGATCTTTACAGAATATTTCCAAAGTGCATTTATTCCCGATTTAAATGACACAATTCACGATTACAGTAGGTTTGCTACTAGGAAGGGTACAAGTGTTTTTGATAACATTTAAATAGTATAGGTTAAAATAAATTTGTAATATCTGTACAAAATCCATAAACAAGCAAACTACAACTGTTTTCTTTTCTTCCATGAGAATGACATGGCAATTTTAAATGTACAGGCTGCTACTGTATATGGTTATGCAATGAGTTTTTAATTGGAAATATATTCCATGGTTTGGACAGTTCCCTTTCAATAAAATGTTATGTCACTGGCAGCATAAAAATAAATACCAATATATATCGCTACGAAATGAAAATAATTATTTATTTCATAGTGGTCAGATTTTTGTTAATGCGGCCAAGTGCGAAGAAAATTGGATCGGTTAACTTTGACAATATTTTGGGTGATAAATGTATACAGGAATTATTTATGTCCTTATCCTAGTTGTAACAATTTAGGTTTAAAATAAATGAATAAAGTAATGGCAAAAACAAACTGTTATACAGTTGTTATCATATCAAGACTATCAAAACAGGATTCGTTGCTCTATAACCCTTTTCAGAGAGAACTTTTGGTGTAAAAATCAAAGGACCAAAAATTTAACTTATTTACTTTGTCGAATCATTATCAACTCATACAATCTGAGATATATTTTAAGGGGATATACAATCTCAAACTAAAGTATAGCTACAAGGAATATTATGTTTGCAAATTTGCTCATCTCTAAAATACGACGAACGTATTCATCCAACAGGTTTCACAGGTTTTCCTTAATATTATTAACTGCGCGACATTCCATAGTAGACACTGATGTAAGCAAACTACGTAAATGGTGATAAATTTTAGAAGTCACGTGTACAACATTCGCAGTTCGCGAAACGCATAAACAACTTTTGTGAAATAACTCTCCATACGTTGACCATTAGAAATACACCCTCTAAAGTCAATGACGTAACTTCATTTCGGCTTGTTATATGGAAATTAGTACATTATGAAATTCATTTATTTTAACAAGCGTATTGAGTCAATGAAGTAAATGATCTAAGCGGATTTTAGTTTAAATAATAATGTAAATAAATAAAATGTCCTAAAATTGCTTGAAATTAAATCAAAATACTTGACTTGATGAGGCGAAAATACTTGTATACAGTTTTAACTTGATGTGTAATTAATATTGATCAATTAATTTAGACCTATGCTTTTTATTTCAATTGATTGGCACTACTGTAAACTAAAGACGTCAGTTTGGCCTTTGTCGGCGCCTTCTCCCATGGCCCTGTGGCGCAACGGATAACGCGTCTGACTACGGATCAGAAGATTCCAGGTTCGAATCCTGGCAGGGTCGCGTTACTTTTTGCTCCCTTATATTGATACAATCTTTATCATTTTTAAATTGTATTTAATGTATGGGCGTTTTTACGTAGTACCTCTTTGATTCTTATAATATATTTTAAATTATTTAATATGGAAGCCTTTAATTCAAAATATATTAATTTGCACGTTTTTAAAAACGATTTTGTAACTTTATTCTGTCAATCATCTCATTTCTGTTCTTATGACTTGATTTCATATACCTTTATCAATGTAGATTTTTTACTAGTATTATATCGTTTAACTTTAAATTTCAAAGGCATCGATAATAAAATAAAATTACAGTAGTTAATTTAAAGGGTAAAGTAAGAGCAACTTAAAGTATTTGAAGAGTGTCCTGTCTAATAATTTTGTATTTAAAGAAAAACTTAATGTAAAATTAAAATAAATCGTAGGAAAATCCAGATCACCCTTCTACTTTGAAAGAGGAGGCTTTATCCATTTTAATATGCTTTTTGAACTTCTATAACTTATCTTTGTATCTAACTTATCTAAAGTTATCTCTTTATTCTCATAAAAAAATACATTTCAAACCAAACACCGTAATGTTAAATAAAAAAAACCTGAGTGCCTGACTTTATGGGTTACCTAGATTAACTTGTATTCCAATGTTACCAATACCAATGATATGACTAATCCAACTGTTTGTGTTGTAAGAAGCAAACTGAAATGCTTTGGGAACACTTCAACTTATCTTCGTAGTAAACTGTATCAGGTCAGTGTCGTGTTATCTAGCCTCTTATCAGCAAGTCAAGTGGTTCTGTTAACATCTCATACATGTGTATTATCCATTAATCCATCTTGACGACATTCAAATTTCAGGATTACTTGAGTAAGACCATTGACTAACTAGCTCGCAATAACCTCTGTTAAAATCTGTCCACTTGTGTAATTGACTATAGTGTGTATGGTGGAACCTGTCTTATGGCACTCCTGTCTATTGATTATAGTGTGTATGATGGAACCTGTCTTCTAGACCTTTCTATTGACTATAGTGTGTATGATGGAACCTGTCTTCTGGCACTCTCGTCTATTCACTATAGTGTGTATGATGGAACCTGTCTTCTGGCACTCCTGTCTATTGACTATAGTGTGTATGATGGAACCTGTCTTAATGCCCTCCCGTCTACTTGGGACTATCGCTAAGCTGTTAGTCCACAGGTAGACGAAAGCTCAGGAGACAGGTTCCATCATACAGACTATAAAATATTGGGTTTACTTAGGTAGGCCTAGTAGTTGGTGTTGTAGGACGGGTAGGTATAACTATAAGTTGTAAAGTATTCTTTCTTTTTCTATGCTCATAGATTTTTGATCAATATCATAATATTGTTCTTAAATTATATGTTTTACAAAATTGTAAAAAAAAATCAGTATCCTAGGCACTAGGGTAGGGATACATTTTTGGCGACTATTAGAAAAGCCAGCCATTTGAATAAATGATAAAGATGTTTGTAAATTGTCGGTTTTTTGTATGTGGTTTTTTTTTTGCACATAAGTTTTTGGAATGGAACCTTCTTCACAACTCCGCCTTTCTCAAACTAACCTAAGCACCCTACCAGGAGTTTTATTGTCTTCTGCCATTAGGCTTTTTCAATAGAAAGCTATGAAATCTTTAAGTAGGTAACAAATAAAAATGAAAAAATAAATGTTTAAGTTAAAGCTTTTTTTGACATTATTATCCATTATAATTATTTTTATATGCAGGGCAAATGCATTGGTCACAATCGTAGATGAGGGCCAGGGTTGCCACCGTAGGTTAGGGACATGGAGGGGTCCCCCCAGATTAACATAGGCTTAAATGCGGGCATAAGGAACCGAAATCGGGACAGTCCCAGCAGAATCGGGACGGGTGGCAACCCTGTTGAGGGCACTCACTGAAATCTTGACAAACCGCAGAAGATCTGGTCGAACAAATTCCCGTCGGTGCATTTAAAACTTTGGGAAACCTAGTGGTCATTCAGACATCCTTCGTTTCGAGAATGAAACACTACATGAACGTATGACGCAACTGCCTTCTACTTGTCCTTATCTAAAATCATCTCTACAACAGTATTTGTAACGACAGGTCTCACTGCAGAGACTCTTTTCTTAAAGTGTGTGCAATTCCATCTTCTGGGCAGCAAAAACTGGTACAAACTCGACCCTAACCATTCCCAACCAGGAACGGTGATTCCTAAAATACTAATGACTCGTAATTAATTGCCACTGGAAAAACTCAATCTCTACGTGTCCAAAAACCATCCATCAGGTCAGATCGCAGTTGAGACGAGAGGCGCAACATCGTATTACATTGCTATAACACCAATGCTTTCAGAGTCTCATTAAAATTACTGGGCCTATTCATAGTCTAATTTCAACCAAAAACCGAGTGTTTGAAGTGTATATTCTGTTGCAGATGTGGCCGTGGCGGTCGGAGACAAGATACAGTTCCTGGAATTGTCAGGAGACGTGGTGGGAAATGTTACCGAAGGGATGAAAGAGGTATGTTTTTGAACATTTTTGGATAATCGAATATTTATAGATAATTGAATTAGAGATATCAAAGCGGGATAAAAATGATTTTCTCGACTTAGGTTAGCAGGATTTCAGTTTTGTCATGTGGAAACACTAGACAGGAAGTATAGAAATGTTTTCATTAATAAAGTTCACATTGTCCTATGGAACCAAAACAAAGATTGTGCAAGGGTGGAAGGCCCTTAATTTATAGGATGAACCAGAACTTTGTTGGATAGATGATGCTCAGATTTTAATCCTAAAATTTTTATCCCTTTGTTCAAAATTGAAGGTGTAGCATATTGCAAACTTAAATTCCATCCATAGTCGAAATTAATATTCATGGTCATGAATAATTCATGAATAATTGTTCAAAAACAGCAGGAAAACATTTCTTCTGAGACACTTTATGCAGGTATGAGGAAAACTTAGACTTTAGTCACTATCAAAACACGTATCACACAAAATGTGTAACCTATGAGTAACAAAAATGTGTTTTTAGGTGAGGTCGTTAACTTACAACTCTGAGCTGCATAAGATGTACTTCAGTGACAACGACAGACCGGATGGCAGCATATTCTCTATGACAGTGCCCAAAGTGGAGGATCTACGAGTTGGCAACCATACTGTAGATTCCTACACTGTGGTGAAGAGTAAGTATTACTACAAAGTAGACTGCATACACATTAGCTAGTATTGGCAATACATCATAATCAATACAACCTGCCCATCTGTTGTACATTTCAATTCAAATTAATTATCAATGACACTTCTCGTAGTTGAGAAGTTTGGACAATGGTCCTGTTCAATGATGTTTGAACGAGTAGCAGTGTAACATGCGTGTAAAGTCGAATGCGTTGATATGCTTGTTACTGACTATCTTCTGCTTTAACCTTAACTGTCAGAAGATTTGTTTATGGACTGAAGGGTTTCAGAAAAAAAAAAAATTCTTTCTTTAATCAACCAGCTACCCGGTCAGTGTATCTAGTATTTTTTTATCTCTTAGTCTAGTTAACATTTACAATGCATTGCTAGAGTAAATGTTTTAATGATTTGGTATGGGAAGCTGGAACTTTAACACAATTGACTTGAACAATGATGGTAACACTTCCGTTTGAAACAAAGCATTTATTGATCAAACACATAACTTTAACAGGAGACCTCCTGCTGGGAAAGTTTATCTTGTAATTACGATCTTTCTGACTAAGAACCAATGTTTCACAAATGTTATTGTAAAAATTCCTTTAAATCTATCCATCTCTATTATTAATACGCTTACACGAAACTTTGTAAACAATAAGGCTTTTTTGTTTTAAGATTTAACCCTATATACCAAAATGTTCGTTTAGGTGTGTAGATTTGCAAACTGACCTTACATTTTTTAAAGAAGTCCCTTGGGCTCTACCCCAGTGGCTTTTAAAGTTCCCATGTTATCCTGATGAAGAACATATTTGTTTACATTATGATCAGCTGGATAATTTAATTGCTGTTAATATTTAAGTTGCAATTTAAGCAATCGTGTGCTACAAATATTATTTAACATATTTCAATTTTCTAGATTAGTAGTACCAATATATGAAAACAAAAAAAATAATTCTAAAACCCCTTATTGTATGTTGTATAATTTTACCCGGGCAAAGACGGGTTTTGCTGCTAGTATATTATTATTATAGACTATGAATGTATGGATTTTTTTGTTTACTTTTGACTTTTTTGCTTTTAATTATGTTTGTCCATATGGCATATTTCAACATATGTTATCCCTTTTGTAATGTTTGAATTAAGAATTTTGTGGTCAACTTCTACTTTCCATTAACCGCAGGAATGTTTAGTTGCTACCTATTCTACTATATATTCTAGCATTATTTACGCTATATTTGCGTTTCAGAGCAAGTACACCAAGTGAAGGGAGTGGTGTATGATGACATGACTGGTATCCTGTACTGGACCAACGGCCACGGACATTCCATCATGTGGATCCAAGTGTCGAGTATAGACCAACCTCAGTCCGGTCAACCTCTGGTCAAGGTAGAAGATCAGATACCCATGGGCATCGCCATAGACAACTGTAAAAGGTAATCAGCAAATCCTTGTTTATTTTTTTAACTTGAAAAATAATTTCACAGCGTCTGGGGGGTTTGGTTTTCAAGCCAATCTGTAATTCTTGTGATCGCCAAAAGTGTTTGCGGATATTGCACAATCATGATTTTGCTTAGTCACAATTTTCGCAGCCGCAAAAGATTCTTTTTATTTCTTCGTAAAACCGGTGAGGATTATTATTATTACTGTGCTGCAATAAGGGAGGCAATATGATGTTGCTGAAAATTTGTAAGATGTAGGATAAAATTTTAAAGTCAATATTTCCCCCATTTTGGTCGGACCTGATTTTGGCGAAGGTCAACATGTTTTAGTTGATCAATTAGTGCTGAGTAGTAAATTTATCAGCGGGGAACGCTTACAATTTTTTGGGTAAAACAGGTGTCTCCTATTAATATACAGGATCCCCACCTTCCCACTGATGAAAAATAAAAATAGTACTATGTAAAAGCTTGTCAACCTGGTCTATTTACCAAGCGAATCGTTGATTTATTTCTAAACTCCAGCTACTAACAAAATTTAATAGAGAGGCCCTCTGGAATTAGCAGCCCTGCCCACATAGATTCATAATATGACCCTGACTCTCATCATGTACATAAAAAGTACCTGAGTTGACTAAATTTATCTCAAACTGCTGGGAACAATTATTCAAAATAGGACACAAACCTGAATATATTTCCATTGTAGTTAGAAACCCATTTAAGAACAGGGGTTTTTCCTGACTTTACTGAAGGCTGCAAGATTGTTTTTATTTGAAACGACGCATTACCATTTTACTACTACTATCTCAGAAATTGCACGTGATTCATTGAAGTTCGCATTGAATAGATAACTTATCTTTGCAGGTTATTTTAATGTGAATCTTTATGTAGTGATTTGTAAAATAATATCTAATCTTGTTATATAATGAACTGTAGATGGTATTTGTAAATATTAGTGATGAGTAGATGGAAAATTCTATTATTGTTTCATTGTTTCTTTTGTTACATCATTCAACATGTTCTTTTTTGTAAATTTTAAGCTGCTTCATGATAATAAATCTTAATATGATTCTTGTCTTTGATTGTTATGTTGTCCCGTTTTCATGAGATTTTTTATAAAAATTTCAAGCTATACCTAAAATTGATTTTTATTTATTATATAGAGTCCTAAGCTGAAATTTTTGGTACTTTTTTGTTAAACATCTTTCAATAATGTAAGCGAAACCTAATTCATAAAACGTTTTAATTTAATACTATAAGCTGAGTTCGGCAAGAATATTAAGTGTGCTTCAACTAAAAGAATCTACAAAAAAAGTTGGGTGAGGATATCACTATTTTTGATAACACTTGTTTTAGATTGAAGAGCCTACATCTAATTTGTTCACTAAACAAAATAAACCCCATTTTTCTTTTTAGCACACATATACATGTTTACTAGGCCTACTCTAGTTTATCTTGCTTCATGACCTTTGTTGAAGTGCTATCTGTAGAACTACCGTAACATGTTCTAACCTTGTTTTAACTTGAATGTTTCATCTAATTTTGTTTCTCTCTGTAGGTACCTGTACTGGACCAACTGTGGGACTCGGCCCAGTATTGAGAGATCCCTACTGGACGGGTCGCAGAGAGAGGCTATTGTCTACGTAGACCCCGCTCTACCTTACGCTGTAGTGGTTGACCAGAAAACCGACAGGTTGTATTGGGTGGAGGAGCTGCCTGGAGTTCAATACAAGATCGAGTCTTCGGACCTCAACGGAAAAGACCGCAGAATAGTTGTTGAAGGTAAAAACGGTTTGATTAATTTGGATTTAGTACAAGTGTTAGAAGTTAGGTTAGGTTCTGTAAAAATCAAGTTTGTTTATTTTCACCCTCGTAGAATTTGTTATGAGAGTCAATACTTCAAGATAAAAAACTAAAAAAACATTTAAAAAATGTATTTCCATTATGTTTGTTAAAAGTAGAGCTGGTAAACTTACTTTCAAATACTTGTAAACTCGAATTTGTAAACTCTTCCTCTACACTTGACAAGTCCCTCAGGGGACGAAATATTGTGTGCACAGTAAATCTTCTACATGTTGTATGGCCTACCTACACTTTCAAGGTAAGCTAGCTGCTATCCCCCTTTTACTTTCAAATACGTAAAACATTTGAATTATTATTGGAAGTCTTAGACACTGTACATGCTTTTTAGGCAACTAAAGAAGCTTCCTACATCAGAAGGAATAATGAAAATAGCTTAGAAAAGTTTAAAGAACTGGCTTTAACTTAGCGAGATTCCGCAACTGAACATCTCTTCTACTGGCTGATGCTAGGTCGAGCTGCTCGTGGCATATCTGTCTGGCGTTTCTAAGAATTAACTTGATTTTTTTACTTCAAAATGATTTGATGAGCAACAATGTCTGATATTGTTGAGGACAAAATTAAAATGACTGATCACAATTTTCAGACTCCCACTCAAGACTCTCTCACTGTATAACGTTTGCCCTTATTTGCGCAGGTTCTGACCACCAGCCGTTTGCACTTGCTGTAGCCGGAGGTCATGTGTTCTGGGCTGACCACATCCACACCTCAGTCTGGCGACAGTCCCTGGACCATCCTACAGTAGAACCTGTCAAATTGGTCACTTACAGGAACAGTCCCCTAGCCCTGGTGTCTGCAGAGTCGGGCAAGTGGACCCATGACGGATGTAACCCTGTCATACAACCCGTCATGAAGGTAGGACTATCGATCAATATTTGAATGGTTGTCTTAGTTATTTAGGGTATCAAGCTGACCTGGAAATTGTACATGTATTTTGATGACAGGGATAATATCCATGAGTTGTACGTAAGTTTTTGATTTTGAAAAATAATTTTTTTTTTACATCATTGTGCCAAGTAAGGAAATCACAGTTCTATAAATTTTGCAGTGTGGTGGGCCTCATTATCTTCCTATAGGCATACTAATTATTTACACAAACAAATCTATTTTTCATAGATGTTTTTGAAAGGTTTGACCTATTCTCTTGGTTCCAAACGGTGAGACTTTTCTATTGTTCTTTTTCTACATCAGTTTCAGTCGTGAGTAGGTGATGTTCCAGCAGAGGCTTTGTTATCCAATTAGTACTGTATTAGTCGTCAAATATTAGCTTCAGTATCTAGGCTCACAATTAAGCCAATGAGAGCCTTACAAAATAGCTTCCATTTTGTAGTAGAAAAAATGGGTCAAGATAATAAAAATTATTAATAAAACTTAGTGTTGCAAAAACTATAACAGACGACTCCTACTTAATGTTAAAATTAATCTGTTATAAACATACAAAACTGTTCTATGCACATAGCGTTACATGAGTAGGCCTACCGCTAAAGGCTTGTGGACAGTTGAGGGATGATACAAACGTATGTATAGGTGATCCCAGCCACGGTTACCAAGGCAGTCACCCAGCCTCCTGTCCATGCTAGTCAGATGACCAACTCCAGCAGATGTTTCAACAAAGGACTCTACCTACCAGACCAGCAATACTGCGACTGTCTGCCCGGCTACAGCGGGGAACTCTGTGAGATCAGTGAGTATTCTCATCCACGTTAATTGCAAAATTATTCTCAAATACACTTTTTTTACTTTGAATTATGATACACTAAAGTAAACAGATGTTGAAACTATTCTGTTTTATTGTATCTTATGTCTTGATCAGATCTTGCTCACATTTTGTTGTTGAGAAAAAAGGTTTAAAGTACCTGTTGCACTGATCAGTGATCCTGGTTTTCGATAAGATGAACTACTGCTTTAATTTTCAATCCTATAGGTTCATTTTCAAGCAGAATACTAAATTTAAAAAGTTTCTCTTTATCCCTTTGGTCATAAGGAAAAGTCACAAACATTCTTTTCATCATACTGTCAGAAAAACGCCCTTTTTTAGTTCTCTAAATCGTAAGCAAAATCGTTGTTTTCAAGTAACTTATAATAGGCAGCAGAAACAACATATGGTATTAAAAATGTTTCTATTTCGTGTCCTCTTATTGTAACAGCTAGTACACGATATTTTAAATTATGTTTATAAACAACAGACTGTAAACATTGATGGCGACTTTGTATAACCTCAAATTATGTGATCTAATTTTGTGATGATTAGAAGGTTATTTCCACAGTATTATGAAAATAGTTTTTCATCACATGGAAGGAAAGTGTAATTTTGGTACCTAATCGTACAATTGCAGGATTGCGTACTAAAAAGAACTACTTTCGCTCCTAGTGATGAAACCTACTATTTAATGGTGGTGAAAATCAAGCATAATTTACCGTAATATACACTTGGTGAAAGGGATCTAGGCGAGAATAGGTTTGATTTTGTTTATGATAGGAAAAGGAGGTTTATCTGTACAGTGGGTGAGTTTACTCAATAGGAAACGCATTTATATACACACAAAATGTAATTATTTCACAATCACTGTCATTGTCAATGCGCTCTTCCTTTCTTTGTGATTGGTAAAGTGGTAAGTGACCATGAAATATTTGAATTTGTATGTATAAATTTTTTCCCTATTGAGTAGACTGTACAGTTAAGCCTTAAAAACAAAATCACACCTGTACTTTGCGTTACATTTTACATTCACCAACTAGCCCTACGTTAGTAGAGTGTAACAGTTTAAGTCTCGTACTCATGCTAGTGTTTTGCCGCAGATGAGTGTCTGGACTACTGTGTCCACGGATCTTGCCACTTCAGCAGTCAGGGCAAGAGTTGTTCGTGTGAGGAAGGCTACACCGGAGAGAGATGTGAGGTCTCTGTCTGCTACAACTACTGTGTCACAGGCACTTGCTCCATAGATCTCACAGGTAAGGCCACAAGAGACTAGATAAATGTACATTTAACTCTGACTACTCTCCAGCCAGAAGAAGAGTAGGACGAGTTAGTCGGTGGGAAAATAGTCTTTTAGTTGTTCAGAAAAGGCATATAAAATAAATATTAATAGTATCTGGTAGAGATGGGAAAGACTGCAATTGTAGTCAGAAACGTACCTTAGCTTTTCGGTAATTGATAAAATAATACTATTATTATCACCTAATACTTCCTCATAAAGGAAATTTAAACTGGATTGCTGCTAATAAGAAGACATGATCAGCGTTATTTCACTCACTCGGGCAGTCAATGTTAGAAAATGCTCAGCGTCGATAGGAAAACAAACTCGTATTCCCAGTAATCTATTGCCAAGGTACTATTATTTTTTGATGCTGGCTGTTAATATTAGCATGATAGTTATTTTATTCGTTTGTTTAAACACCGTTTCTAGTGGTGTAGCGGGTAGGAACACAGGGTAACAAAATTGGTAAGCGACCCGATATTTTTCTGTTACTTTTGTGACAGTTCCCACACTGGAAAATTTATGACTACACCACCGGACGTTGCTAAAATAATATAGTGTTTTCATTAATGTATTACCAGGGTCCAGGATAATAGGTTCACTTTAGTCTACTGTAACCTTAAATAACGCCTACCTCTAGTATCTGGAAAAGTAACTCTTAACTCTTTTTACAAAGAGCCGAAAATATTATACATCAGTAGTTTACTTGTCAGTTTGAGATGATGTTGTGTGGCAGGTACACCTCAGTGCCACTGTAAGGCAGGATTCTCTGGCACTAGGTGTGAGATCAACTTCACGCAGCAGCAGGAGCTGAGAGACAGTCTACAACAGGTGTGTCACACGTACTGCAGTCTGTGGAGTCAGCAGGCCGCTCAGGACGAGATACAACCCTTCTCCGTCTGCAGGTAGAGTAGATTCTAGATTATAATAGGCTTGTCTGTCAGTTCTCCAATGAGTTTCTTTTGCACAACCAGATAGGTTAAATCTGAGACGTGTGTCATTTGCATCATCGACTACTATTGAAGGTGATTCCTAACCCTTTACGATTACTCTGTCATGGTAGCTGAAGAAAGAAAATCAACACTCCATCCAAGTATGAATTGAACTCGTTGATAAAATTTCTGTGGAGGCATCAACCTCTATATAAGTTCAGGGGTACCTCTTTATAGGTCTCTCACTAGTAGCATCATGACAGTGTCAGTTGATTTGTTTAAAGGATTGCTCCAGACATTTTCAATCGCTGATACGTAAAATAAGTGTCACAACATTTCAGGATCTGAATCAACCCCTTTAAAGGAATGTAAAACAACAATGACAAAGATAACAAAAACATCATGAATCTGTTATACTAGTCTGTGATGGAAAATGTCTGCAATAATCTTTTAAGCGTAAACTCAGTATTGCCGACAAATAAGTTATTTGTTTGTACAGCTGTCCAGCGCCTAGTGGGGTAGACAGCGTCTCACAGACATCCTGGTTGCCGGACTACACCGTGATGGCGCTCCTCGCCCTGTGTGCCGTGCTGATGATGGTCGTAGCAGTGCTGACCAAGAAGGTGATGGTGCTGAGGCGACGACCTCGCATCAAGAAGCGCATCATCGTCAACAAGACCCCCAACCAGCCGCTGACCAGTCGACCGACCTCACCAGACAACGGACAGTGCGAGATCACCATCGAGAACTGTTGCAACATGAATATCTGTGAAACTGTGAGTAAATCCGTTGATGGTGTTGTCACGTAGATGCACGGTTAACGCTTTAGAACACGCTTGCGATTGTTTTCAGTTACGATACATCTCTTGTGGTTGAGGAGGTTAGGGAACTATTATGGTAAAACAAGAATTTACCAGAGTACAATTTATTCAAATTTTTTTGGTATGGAGTTGTGCTTTAGGTAAAAACTTGTGTATATTTTTTAGCATGTTTGGCCTGGGAATGTTCAATACAGCAAAAAGCTTGAGGTTGCAGAGAATATTGTTTTTCATATTTTTGAAAATATATTTTTTCAGAGAGACGTATGAATAACTGAAAACAATTTTTTATTTTTTACCATTGAGTGTTGTATGCTGTAGGTTAAGCTTGAAGTGAGGTTTTGTATTATTATTTATATGCTTTGTAGAATAGAATTTTCTTTTGCTCATTTTCATTCAATGTAAATAGATCTTAGAAGTTTATCATTGTTGTTATTATACGATAAATTGTACATTAAAATTGTTAGTGACAAAATTTGATTTGAGACTGATGTACTTGGAGTTCCTATTAGAGTTGTTAAATTGTTATGCATTTGTAGTATATGATAAGTAAAACATAAAATGTTTAAATGAACAGTGTTTGCATTCATTTACATTTGGCTTAGTTGATGCATTTTAATAATTGAAACTGAAATAAGTGTTTTACCTTTTACTACACATTACATTTTAAATGTAGGCACGTTACATTAGTAGTTTTAATCTCATTGTAAATGTTAAGCCAAATACATTTATTATATTGTTTTATAAAAGATTCTTACAATACTATCTTTGTTTTATTCTATTCCTTAACATTCCTATTATGATCATGTGGGTGGCCTCAAATTTTAAAATAAAGAATCAAGTGGTCTCCACCATTTTAGCATGTTTAAATTTGTTTTTGCATTTTGCTATTATGTAGAAAAATCTCATTTGTATGATGCTTTGCTGCATGATCTATAGTTGTAAAGAATGCATGTAGATTTTGTTGTAAATATTTAAGTCCAAGAAGAGTTTGAAAAATTACTAACTGGAGATATGTCATAAATGGCTATTATTTTCACAGGCAATAAGTTGTACAAAATGTACTCTTAACATATTTTAACTGTTTATTTAAACTAATAGGTGTGCCATACCACTTACAAAGACGCATTGAGAATTTGTTGAAATGAAGTAATTTTTCTCAAATCAACAAAACATTGTTTAACCTATTAGGTTAACGTTTTTAAAATGTTGACTTAGCTAATTTATGTAATTCAAAAACTAAATTGATTCTATATTGATTTAATTTGATTCAAGAAATCGTTATTCCACGAGGAATTTTTTTGAATTAATAGTTTTAACGAAGCTCATAGAGTGAGCTAGTTTACATTTACCAACTTACGGTGTATTTACTCACTGCCAATGCTCAGTCTAGTAGTAGCCGATAACAATGAAAGGGAAAACCAATGTTCCCAAAAAGTTTGAATTTAAATCCATTACAGGTTTTAGAATGCGTAAACTATGGGGAATAAGGTCAGCTGTCATTGTTGTTTTGGATGAGTCGGTAACAAATGTATCCGACGGGAGGGATTCTTCTATAAAAAGGAGTAGTTTGTATTTTTTTCCTTTTTTAAACTAATTGTCAATATAATACTGTGGTTAGAGGGACAGTACACCTTTAACTGTCCCCTAACTTTTAGCAGCTAACGTCCACAACGATTATGTCCAGGGTAAAATTTTGACAAATTTAAAGGAACCTTTATACAAATTATGTATTTCCAATAAATATATCAAGTGGAATCCCAACAAGATGTGGAGGTTAACCTTGTTCTTCTGGAACTTTGTATATTCATGGATATCTCAAAGATTTCAGAACTTCCTTCTTATCTCTGTAGATCCACAGTATCTCTATTTTCTTGTTCACAATCCTAATGGCAACTGGTATCTGTGAGAACATAAGTGACCCACCTAATAAGGCACACCTGGTGGTAATAAGCGGAGAATGGCGTAAGAGCAAAGTTTCCGTACAAGTGACCAGCTGATTGTCGCCGCACAATCCATGCCCAAACGAACAGTGATCAAAGCAATATTTTTCCTCCCTCTAAAAATAGCCCTTCATTTACTTCACACATTGGGAGAAAAGTATCAACAATGAAAAACGGAATCTCGCCTTTTATGCCACACTTTTTCCAAGCATCCTGAAAGAAGCGACTCAAAAATAAAATTAAAAGGGGGTGATTAATTTAGCACATATGGGATTTCCTCAATAAAAGGGCTCTGTAGAGCTATATACTAAAACATAAAATCATATGATATAGGTAACCGTGCAGCACAAATATGAATTGATACTTACTGACCAGCACAGAGGTGGAATTGTCATGTTTTTCTTTACAATGTTCAGATTAATGCACGTTTGTTGTGTTGACAGCCCTGTTTCGAGCCAGACTTCCGACAGCCGGAAGCGTCGCTGAGTCGGTCACGAAAGGAAGGAAAAGAAGAGAAAAGAGGACTGCTAGGACACATGGAGCTTCCACCCGACGACCTCTACTGACCTTGAGACTCCTTCCAAGGTCATTTCCAGGATGGATCCAGTGTTGTTGTTGGACTTGTTAAAATACGTTGTTACGCGTTGTAAATTATTTAGTGGAATGTCGCTATTGCATGGGCTTCGCTTTTTCGTTTTATGACGTGACCGATATTACTTCGGGTTGTAGGAAATTATTGGTGTGATATTTTAATTCGGGTATGTTTGAGAATGTATGAAAACCGCCGTTGCCTTATAGGAGAAAGGTTATTTTATGAACACTTATAGTAGTGAAATATCAAGTTTCATTCGCCTTAAACTTAACCGTATGGCTCGTCACTCTTGAGTTATGTGAAAAACTTGTTCATGAGTTATATTGTGAACTTGTTGAAGAGTAAATGTGCGATTTTCTCTTCATTTAGTGTGACTGACTTCACAAATCAAATTAAACGTGGAAATGTGCTTTTGAAAAAAGAGTATGGACCCGAACCCTTGTAAAACCAAAAAGCGAAACCTGTGTGCACGAGAGCAGTTCCTATGGATCTTTAGAAAGGCTGTGGAGTTTTAGTGAGCTAAGACTGTATTTTTATAGTATTAAGTCGGGCCTGGATTAATTCCAATCGAGCGTTGCTAAATGTGTTCATTTTATCTCTATATTGCCAAATCTTTTTATACTCCTACTTTGTGTATTTGTTTTAAATATCAGACGAATATGTAATAAAAGTACTTAAAAATCTGTTACGTTACAAAAGTGTATTTTAGGCCTATACAATTTCAAATCGAATTATTTAACTTTTTATTGTTTATGAGTCTGTAATAGTAAATATGATTATGTAAATATGATTAAAACTACGATTTAAGAAAATCTTCTACAAAAGGAGTATTTTTTGTACTGCCAAGTTTTAATGATGGAACTTTATATCGCTCCTTTATATTTCAAACTGAAATATATGTTCACCGTAAATCTCTTTTCATTTTCTTTATCAAGAAAATAAACATCTACTTAAGTTATAGAAACCTTAAGATTAAGTTAGAGCACAATATGCTTTTAAGTGATAAACTTTATCACCAGTAAATAATGCTATTGAAACCAATACTTCTTTCTGGTGCTTTGTAATTTGTTCATTTAAGTTAATTAAAGACAATAGTGTAGTGATTTTAATTTTAAATGTACATTAGTCTTCTGAAACCTTAAATTAGCTAAGTGTTAAATATTTCAAAGACCAAAGACCTGACTTGGCCTACTTTTGCTTCTTTTAACGGAATACTCCGGTATTTATTGTTTCGCCCAATCAACAGCATAGAGAAGTTGTTTGCAGAGGATAATTTCAATCAGGAACTTTGTATAATTGATTACAGAGCAACTACAAGCCAAAATCATAAAACCTACGCAAACCGCTTTAAGAGAGCTTTCTAAAAGCTCTTTCTCTGTGTAAATAGTAAATAGCTACAAACTTTCAGATTTAGACTTTCAAACAACATGACTCTAGAGTAAATAGATTGTAAGACTGAAAATTACTAACCAATTAACATGAATAGTAGTTCCATTTCCAAAAGATATCTTCCAATGGGGAACTGTTTGCTTATTTTTGTTAAAGTTTATTTTTGCTACGTTCTAACTAAGATTATCAACCCTGAGTTGAAACATTCAAGCAATCATTTAAATGCCTGGATCAAACATTGGTTTATGCAGACAAGAATGATAAAGCTCTATATTTTTAATGATTCTTTTTTAACACCATGAACCATACTTTCACAATTGAAATATCCTGGTACAAACAAACCATTAATGGTATGAACTAAAATTTTGTTTGTGAGTAAGTTATTACCTTAAGTTTTGTTGGGTTTTTTACAAAATGGAATGGTTTTTAACAAACATGTAAACTCCTTAATTTTGTATTGTCAATAAAACAGTTATTTAAAATTGTTTTAAATCAATTATTTTTAGTTCAAGTGTTGTTTAATTATAAGTGTATAACAGAATAAACTGTTACAAATTAGCCTATTTTCCACAGATATTTTGTACTAGGACTATGTCAAAATATAAATTGTGCTGCTTTCTAAATGAACCAGTCTGCAAATATTGAAGTCTAAATGATGACTTAATTCGTGTACTGTACTTAATTAATTCATTATACTTAATTTAGTGAACTTAATGATAAAATTACAGAAAAGTAACTTATCAAATTTTCCAAGTACTGTAGGTATATTTTGGTCTTTTGCTAAAGCCTTGTAAAAATGAGTACTTTAATTATTTTGGCAGCTACTTTAAATTTTGTATTATTTTAGTTACCAAAATGAGAAATCATTTTAAAATATTTTTATTGTTAGTGAAACGTTTTTGAATAAACAATTTGTAGTAACTTTTCAATATTGTGTTATTTTTTAACTCCTAAGAACTGTAGTTTTATAGATGGTTTTATTTTATATTGCATGTCTATCTATTCTGAAGGCTAGAGCTCCAACGTCATATGTATCAGACGCAAAGCAACATATCCTAAACTTCTACTTATATGTCCTGTCCATAAACACTACTATAACTCAAGTAATTTTGGTTTGATTTCGATGAAATTTGGCATGAATGGGAACTGAGTGTTATGGGGTTTGAAATGTCCAATAGTTTTTTTTTTCATATTTTTACCTTTTCTTAAATTTCTAACCAATAATTTGAAAAAATTTAAAACATAAAAATATACAATATCCATTAAGCTTACAGCTATTGTGTAGAGCAAAAATAACAAATAATGTTCTTGATTGAAGCATTATTGTATGATTGTAGGTTATGGAGTAAATTAAAAAAAAAAACTATGTTTCAGATAGCTATGTTATTCTTATGGAGAAAAAGAAAACTGTTAGTCTGCTTGTTTATGGATATTTATTTGATCAATAGTTATTTGTGCAACTAGTGAGAAAAGTGAGCAATTGACTCACTCGAGAGAAATCCTTACTCACGAGCCGTAGGCGAGTGAGGAATGGTTACTCGAGTGAGGCAATTGTACTTTGAACTCGAGTTGCACATTATACTTTTCCTACAGTTACCATAAAACAAAAACATTTGTGAAGAAACATGAACAAACATAACCTATTTTTACACAGAAGTGAACTTTTAATATAACATTTAATGTGAAGTGACAAATACAACAGTACAACAGCTGACCAGCTGATTTACAGCCAGTGCTGCCAACGTATTTCGCGCGCATACGCCGTTGCCTGCATGTTACGCGCTCACTATTTCGTGCATTCACGTTGCAAATCTGGAGTGAGACAAAGTAATTAGAGTGAGACAATGTTAACATTGTCTCACTGGTGAGCGAATTGGCCACTTTGCTTTCTCAAATCAGTGAGAGAACATGTACATTGTTAGGTAACTGTAGGAAAAACAACTTTTTCCTTTACCCACAGCAGGGTACCTATAAAATCTAATGCAATTTAAATAGGGAATAAATCTAAACTTAATTAGGCAAGATTAACACACAGAATAATTCATGGAGTTCAAAGTACGTTTTGGAACTCCAGTCATTCATTGAGCTGACTTGTGACGAACTCATATACTGGAGTTATAATTTGTAATTAGTCTTCCCAGACATCCGGGATCCTTCCAGAGTCCAGGTAAATGTCTGTGACTAAGTTAGAATACGAAAAGACGGGTGAATCAAGTTTAAACCTAAGGATGTTTTGTGCTGAGTTGTTGTGGTGGTTTTGCCATAAAGCAGTCAACAAACCTTAATCGGCTTTAACACAATTGTAGATTGCTACAGGGAGTTTTTTGTTTGGTATTGTACTATTGTATAATATTCCCAGTCAAGAATCAAACAGTGGCAAATGTTATAGAATCATTTCGGTTTTCATTGGACTGTTAGAATTATGTACCGTACAGAGAAAAATGTACTGATTACTCATCTAAGTGAGGGAAGAACATCTTTTAAAATAACTGTAATCAAGTCTAAACTATCATCAATAAACCTTTTACTTATTTTAAATATTTATGTGATTTTGTCAAGAGTACGTATGGTATATGGTTTTGCCAAGGAGAAAAAAAAACTAGTGGCCAATGCTAGTAAATTTTATATCACAAATTAACGCTACATAAAGCTTAAGATTACGTTATCTGGTGAGCTAATCGCAAGACCCGTCCTTCCATCCGTCCCTCCATCTCTCGTTGACTCTGCTGCAGTCAAATATTGGTTTGCCTGTCCGTTGGTTGACAAGATTGTGCATGTCACACAGCCACCGCGACAGAGTCTGCTGGTTCGATACCTTCGGTGGGTATGTAGTTATCCTGAAAAAAGTTCAAGGAAAATCAGCTTCTCTTTCTACAATTGCAACGCTTTGTTAGAAGTAAATTAGATTGTAGCCTATTTAAGTGGCAAACAATCGTGAATTTTACTTGAACGAAAGATCACCGACATTACTGGACTCACTTTAGTCTTACTCGTATGCTCATCTACAATGACCCTGTGTCCTAGCCCAGTCTGATAGTGTCAAAGTCACCAAACCCACCCTGCCGGCATTCGTTACCATGACAACGGAATATCCGCCGACACGTCTCCCAAAAATTTGACAATCATGTTTCCGTTCGGTTATGTTTTCATTTTCAACTTAATTAAAATTGTTCCACAATGCAAATATTCTTTAATTTAGTACTAATGGTAGGATTAAATATTCCTGAGCGAGACCAAATTTATCGAACATCTACCTGGACTATGTCATAATTGTTTAGAATTTCCAGACTTTTTGTGGTTGCTAGACACCCTGAATGAGAAAAGCCAAAACTAAACAATACAACATAACATATTCTCACTATTGATGCAACAACATAACAGTATCAAACAAACAGCAAAGTTTTTGGATCAAAGGAAAATTATACCCTTAAAACATAGTGGCTTTGTTACTTAGATTGTTGACCTCTAAAGATGCCACAACTTACAATAAGTAGGCTAGTCTTATCAGTTTGACTTGATTAAAAAGTGAATATTTTACCAAAATCAGTCATCTACATCAGCACAATCTGTTGTTGGCTCACTTCAACTATGTCCATTTTGACTTGAAAACTGGCGACAACTTGAACATGGTGATGGAATGTCTAGTTGTACCAATAGTCAAAGGTAAACACTACAAAGATACAATAAAATGCTACATGTTTTGCACTGTTTCTACACTAATGTAATACAGTTTATCCAGTGTTAAACAATTCTAGGCTATTTTTATCACATACACCTCAGTAGTGTCCTACTTACTGTTCACGGAAATGGTCAGCACACGATTTACACGGATACAATTTGGAAAACTTCTCAAAGAATATTCTGGCATCATCTCTTGTTTCCTGGGATGGATTTTCAGGGTAGTAAGCTGCTATCGTGTGTAGTAGACCCCAGGTTGCTCGGCCTGATACAACAGGAATGCAAATTTAAGTGACTATTGAAATGGGGTTATAGCGTAAAAATTGGCGTTTTCCATTTTTGACCCTCAAAATATAAAACTGTGCAGTTTTCCCAAGCTATTTTGTAGAGCTTGATGAAAGAAATAGTTAAGTATACTGAAGCGTCATTGTACGTTTAATAGTCACGGAGAAAATTCCAAAAAACTCAAAATATAAAATTTGTATGTTAATCTGACGAAGACTAAGTAAACTGTTGTGGCTTACGTTTATTGATAAATTTTCAGCAAATTTGTTTATTGTGTACCAATCTACAGTACAAATTAACATTCAAATCAATAACCCACTTTACAACTTCTAGTGGTAGCGAACTGAAGTATTCACTAAACCTAATGTTATTTAAAAGAAGGATAAATCAAACATGTTTAAGAGAATATTAAAGTGGAAATCCAATCAGTCAAAATGGGAATTACCTTAGGGTAAAAACACAGTGGAGCAGGACAGGTAGCTGGTAGCCTGGCTGGTCGCTTACTCGCTTACTGCGATGTAGAATTAAAGCACGCGTTGTTATGGGTACGCATACAGTCGCGCCTAGCAGGTAGCCGACATGGTAGCAGTAAGCTAGGCGGCAAGCTAGAAGAATTGCCAAGTCGATTGTTTGGGAGCTGCAAGCGGGGAAGGCTCGACTGGGGCATGCGCAAATAGCAGAACTAGACAGCCACGTGTTCTCGAGTTCGCAAGTTCCACGCGGGATCTTTCACTGTGCATTCTCTTAGTATACGGAGTGTTGTTTGTTTTAGTTGATTTATTTGGTTGTTGTTTTGTTTACATGAAATACAATAATGGTCATAGACAAATTAATATCAGAGGTTTTTATCCGTGTGCCATTGTGGAACCAAGCCCATCCGGACCACCACAACCGTCACTCAACGATCTGTAGAATGAAATAGCGAATGAACTAGGATTCAAACATAGGTTTATCCTATCTTACTAATATTATAAGTGATAATATTAGTATCAGCGGCTGACAAGCGACTGTACTGAGCGCCACTGTGTGTATGTCCCAGCTACCCTCCAGGTAACCAGCCGTAATGCGGGGACCAGCGTATATGCGAGTATACGACCTGCCCGGCTCCACTGTGTTTTTACCCTTAGTCAGCTGACACACCAGATTTCAAGAGGCGGGGTATTTTTACTGTTATATAGCTATTGTGATTGTAAAATAAAATAGATAAGTTTTATAAATTAGCTAAAACTTGCTATTGTTTTTCATGTTTTTGATTACCAGTACCGTTTATCCATATCCACTAACAGTGCACTGCTGTAGGTTACTATTTGGCAAATACCTGCAGCTAAAGCAAAATGTACAGTTGCCAATAAATAATGGACAATGGTAATAATATGAATACCGTACTAGAAGTGAGACGCTAATTAATTTCCCTTATTATCGGTGAACACTTAAAGATCATTCCTAACTGCATCATATGAACAGTAAAAGCTGCTAAAACAGTTAAATTTTATTGATAAGTGTTAAAAACTTTCATTACCACTCTACTCTTACACTTACCGAGCTCATCTTTATCAAGAGGGCAGTTACGATGTTCACTGGACGTGGTACTAACTACATCTGAAACCTGAAAATCCCAATAAGTTAAGTATGGGCATAATTTGGTAATTTATAAACATATATAGTAGGCCTAAATTTAAAAATCCCATTATATTCTTCTGAAGGAATAAGTTAACTGTTGTAGTTTGCTTGTTTATGAATATATTTTTGATCACTTGGACAATTTATTTATTTTACACTAAGCTATACAAAATGTTATTGAGAACCACACTCTATTACCTTCCCTGTGGCAGCAAACTAAGTACTTGTTAAACCTAGTGTTATAGGGAATAAATCTGGCACATTAAGGAAATATTTAAGTGAAAATCCAATTGGGATGGAAATTTGCTTAGTCTGCAGGTTTGCTGTGGCGGGGGTATTTCATGACCTTGTTGGTCTTTTCCACAACCTACCTAACAATGCTCGCAATATTTAAATGAATTATTATATATATTTTTTGGTATGTGGTTCCTGTTATACAATATCCTAAAGAACAGTTTAGGCCAACAGAAAAACATAACAATATAGTCCCCGGGTATTTTTGTGCATTTAAGAAGACAAGGCTGAAAATCTGTTTGTCATTCTTAGGATTAGAAGAAGATATTTTTAACTTGTTTTCCAATCCATACCTATCTCATTTCAGCTTTGGATTAAATCATGTCCTTGGCTTAAAGTATGCGACAGACAAGTTATTTATTGCAAATTGAAGATTAATTCCAAATTTATAACAACTATTTATAAAAGAAAAAACTAAAATCAGAAATTGAAAACACCACTATTTGGTCATGTTATAGTTTCTAGCTAATAAATAGATAATTACAAAATATTATTCATTAACAAGTAGGCCTAACTGTCAAACCAAAATGATTAGATCACCTCTTCTGCTTCATCTAGCTCTTGGTACGGATTTTTAACTTTCGAAGGCATGATGTATTTAAATCACTACCGGAACACAAGATTATGACTGGTTCAACTAACAACTAAGCAAAATAGAACTTTATCATTGTTAATCACCATTATGTTGTAACTGATAACCTCTTAAAATACATAAATAAATGTGGGACTGATTGTTTACTATTTTACATTTATTTAGAGACAAATGTTCAACATTCAAAATCTGTCTCTAGTTAAGGAGAGCAAATATAAAAACCCCATTATTAGGAAAATCCTACAGCAAAGAATTTGTAAAAATATAAAGAAGCTAAGAATTATATTTTGGGAAAGACTTTTTTGACAGTATTTTTATGTAATGTTTAGGAGGAAGCAGATTTTTACAGTAAATTATTTTACCAAATAGCCAAAGTAATAAAATAAAACTAGGGTGCATCGGTACCTCTAAAGTCCATAGTAAAAAAAGCTATGGAAAAATAAAATAAAAACAAAACTCACAGCAGAATACCTATGCTCATCATAACTGGAACTTCTTCTTCTCCTCATTGTATCGAAAGTAACCGGATTCCACCACAATACCACTCAAGTTATTGTTCATATATAAAGATTTAGAAGAAAAACTTTGAATTTTGAGCTCAGTTGTATAGTTTTTAAACACAAATAAAGTCATGAAATCTTGTAAATAAATACTTGAATTTTCATGGATATTGATATTGAACACATATGGCAATCCAAATAAACAGATTACATTCTCTAAAACACATGATTTTGGACATAGTCCTTCAGGGTAATTTATAGTAGGGTATTTAGTTTTTTGTTTGAGTTTTAGGATACTTAACTAATAGCACTTTGGGAATTAAAGATACTTCAAGCTGAATTGAAAAGCATAAAGCATTAGTCTAAATTGGGGTACCTCTTACTGTTTGCAAAAAGTTAAGCGATTTAACAGAACCATTATATAAGAAAAGAACTATTTTACAATTTAAATGTTAACAAAGTCTGGATTTACTATTTAGTTATTATCAGCTGAATTATAATGAAATGCCCCAATATTGGTAATGTGCGGTGTCCATGTAAAGCGGTGAATTTAATTTAAAAAAAAAGAGTACCGATACACAAATATAGGCCTAAACATGTAAAGAATGAAAAGATGTAAAATCAATTAATTGTTAGTAATTAAATTAGTTAGCTCTCATTGAAATTGTGATACTACTTTAATACAAATTGAATACAATAGTTGTAGTCATCTATTCATTCTTTTAACAATCGGTCCAAAATCCAATTGTCATCATTTTTTTCAAACAAAAACCCCCATATGGTTTCCTAGGTTAGAATAATACCACAGCCTTCCACGGCTTATCAGAGGGGACAAACAGGGGTTGGGAGATCCTTCTCTTCATCTTCCAAACTTTCTCCGAAGCCAAGCTTTCTTCATATCTTTGGCTTGGTTCTCAAAATCTGTTGTCATCGTTTCATTCTTTCGCCTTTGACTCCATTTCGAACCTCGATTTCGTGCTTCTTTTTGACTGGTGCACACTAGGTTGCCTTGGGTGTCTTTCCTGTGCAGAGGGGCTGAGGTGTATCTAGCACGGATGCCTTGGTGCATCGTCAGCCCCTTTGGGGTCTACTGTAGTCAAAGAGTGGGTACCGTGGGTGCATAGACAGGGGCTCTGCACTGCCTCAGGTGACTCTTGGTATGTAAAGATTTCCAGTATTCGGAAAACGGAAGCCGAACCCTGAGGAACTGGGATAGGAGAGTCCCAAGGGTATGCCAATTTCTAGTTATTCCACGCTGCACAAAGTCCTGGCTTAAATCTTATGGAATCGTCAATGGCAGGAAGCACAGAGGGCTTGCTAGACAAGTCGAAGTGGCGGCGTTTCAGAGGGAAGCTTTTCTTTTTTAGTTTACACCTGATGATGAAGCCAAAAATACTAATGGTGCCTTCATTGAGGATGACAGTCTCTCCACACTGGCGCCATCCTTAAAGTCTGATCAGGAATGAGTGAGGAACCCTTTATATGTACGTTGAAGTCGAAGAGCTGGGGGATGGTGCTCCGCCTGCTTCAGCAATATCTTTTTCCAGAGAGTAGCATAGAACATTGGCTGCGAAACATGGATGAGACCATCAAGGCAATGCTGGACACCTTCCTTCAACGTCAGAAAGTCCTCCAAAAAGGGAAGACATCATCTAGCTGAAAAGTTTAGACCAAGGCTCAAAGTAAAGCAAAGGCTACCCAGACAATTCTTTGACGTACCAAGGCCCTTTTTAGTCATAGTTCCTGCTTCCGTAAAACCACGATAGCCACAGCCATTCGCGAACCCCCTTAGAGGGAGTTTCTGTTGTTAAGCAATTCAGTGGTAGGCCTATTTAACGGATTTTCTGTTGTTAAGCATTTCAGTGGTAGGCCTATTTAACAATCAGCCAAATCGCTTAATATAACATAACTGTAGCGGTGTTACCGATTGCAGGCTGCCAACAATTTACTTTACTTTACTGTATAGCCCTACCCTGTTTGCTCAGGCAGTGCAGCTGGCCGAAGGGTCGGCCCTACTGACTCAATGCAGGCCTTGCACATACACTGACGCAAGGGATTAGGACAGATATTGAGATTGTTCCAGACAGATAAGTGAGACGGGTAGGGCTGAGCACCCTTAGCAAAGAGGTCTAGGTAATTTAAACAGATGAAAAACTAATAATGTATAGGCCTATACGGACATTGAATAAAATAACACATTTAAGTTAGAGCCTACTCTGGCATAGTTTGACAAGTTTTAGTCTGGTCGGTAGATTGTCCCATAGTAACCAGACTTGCCTGTAAGTACTTAACTTACAACTCAATCTGACAAGCCAGCTCTCAAGTTTTTGTAGGTATGAATAAAGCTTTTAGAGAGACAAAGAAGGCAAGGAATGTAGAGAGAATAAAAAACTCACCAAATACATGCAAGGCAGCATGGGAGATAATAAATGAGCACAGGAAGTCCAGACCTAGTCCCGTGGTTCATAGAACACCAGATGACTTCAATACCTTTTTTGTCCAGGTTGCTGAAAACATTGTTTCAGGCTTGCTAGCTGTGCAAACAAACACACCACATATCCGGATGGATAGAGATCCAACCTTAGAACTTTCAAGCTGGTCGGAGGTGAGTACTCAGGAAATTTTAAGTATTGTGCATAATTTCAAAAATTCCAGAAGCCAAGATGTTCATGGCATGTCCTGTGATATCCTAAAAGCTGTTGTGGATATACTAGTTGATCCAATCACTAAGCTAGTTAACGCTTGCCTCGCTAATGGAGTTTTTCCCGATTGCCTTAAAACAGCTAGAACAGTTCCTATCTTTAAGAAGGGTGACCCTACAAATTTGGCAAACTATCGGCCTATATCAATCCTCCCTACCTTCTCTAAGATATTTGAAACTGTTATGAAAAGGCAACTTGTAGAATGGCTGGAGGCAAACACCCTTTTGAGCAACGCACAACATGGCTTCAGAAGAGGGCGCTCCACGACTTCGGCTCTAATCGACCTAGCGAACATAATCACAGACGCTTTTGAAAACAATGAGTCTGTTCACCTGAATCTGTGTGACCTCAGCAAAGCGATGCTGTTGTGTTACATAGCATACTTTTGGACAAACTGAGACTCTACGGTATTGGAGGGAGTGTTCTTGATACACTATCGAGCTATCTGCAGGGGAGAGCACAGATCGTCTCATTGTATGGCGCATCTTCTAGTATGAGGAGTGTTAACCATGGTGTCCCCCAAGGGTCTATTTTAGGCCCACTTCTCTTCACCATCATGATAAATGATCTGGGGTTAAATGGTCAAACACTTTTGTTTGCGGACGACACAACCCTTATATCCACAGGTCGAGACATAACTCAGCTTAAACTGGAGGCCGAACACCTGCTATCCCAGGCTAAGGACTGGTTTAATGCTAACCAGCTTAAAATCAACGAGGAGAAAACTCAATCTCTGATATGTAGCCTAAAAACTGTGGAGGAGGAAGAACCAGTAAAACTGCTCGGCTTTTGGATAGATTCCAAATGTAGCTGGAATTCCCACATTGAAAAGGTGTGTGTGAAGCTTTCCCGTGTGGTTTATCTTCTGAGAAAACTGAGATCAGAAATCACTCTACCTTATCTGATGACTGTTTACCATGCCCTCTTTCACAGTCATATTACATATGGCTTGGTCCTGTGGGGACACTGTTCAGCTGCGCAACAGGTCCTACTACTGCAAAAGATGGCACTTCGGGTGATCACATTTGCGGGCTATTACGACCACTGTCGCCCGATTTTTGAAGAACGGCAGTTGTACTAACTGTGTTCAGCCAGTATGTGTATAACATCCTTGGTCTCCTGAAGGAAAAGGAAACTGACTTCGACAGAAGGAGTGACCAGCATACTTATGGGACACGGAATGCAGTAGACCTTGATATGCCCCGATGTCGTCTTAGCAGAACTCTAAAATGCTACCCACGATACGCTATCTCAGGATTTTTAACACGCTTCCCAAAACTGTTAGAGACTTGAAGATTAAGCCCTTCAAAAAGACCCTCCTCAAAGTACTGGTGAAAAGGCCGTTGTACTCGTTGGCCGAGCTTGAAGAGCCACTCTTTCCATCCTGATTTTGACATACAGTAACTGGACCTAATTAATCAAAACCGCCATGCCACAATTTTTTCTGTAGTAGGCCTATAGTGTTTGTACTTAAATATTAGTTTTTGTATAAATTGTATATATAAATAAATTGACGCAATCTATCCGATAATGTCGGTCAAAGATGAAGACATCAAGTATCAACATTTTTAATATCTTGACTAACTTAGTCGTACCTCAATAGGTTGGATAATGAAAACAACCCTTTTAACAGTCTTAACCTTCCAAACACCAAAAGCAAATAGTGCCTTACCTACGAATTAAATAGACATGAGTTTTTACTCATTGTTTTCAAAATTATTACGTCCTTTTTCACCTTTTACCTAAAATAGGGATGGATTGTGTTATAACGAGGAAACAATAGGTACTTTCACACACTAAGTTAAAGCCTAAACTTCCACTGGGCCCTATCATGTTACTTTGAGTCGTGAACATTTGGGTTCTGGGTTCAGTAAAAACTAAAAAGTGGGTAGGACTAGGAATAATTAAACCATTGGCATACGCTAATACTTAACTGGGCTTACTTCAACTTTTTTAGGTGATGTATCATCTTGACCGGAATCTTGCGTCTGACCCTTATTCAACTTGGCCCAGGTTTTAAAATCATCACAGGCTCTACAAAAAACGGACTTGTTCGACCTAGTCCCATATTCTGTACCAACCATGGTCGGCCCTAGTCCTAGTTAATAAACTAATTTGTTTACTAGGCTAGAAAAGTTAACCTAAATTTGAACTGTCCTAAACTAGGCCTAAAATTAGACAATAATATCGAAACTTAAGGTTTGCCTGAACTATAGACCAGAACAATAATGTTACTCAGTGAGAAATTAGGGTATTCTCTGTCAAAATTTCACGCTGAAACAAAACTGTACTGCAAAGTGAAATTAATCGGTTCTTCGTGTCACATCACAAACAAAGTTCAAGAAGTGTTATTATGAATATGATGAAAATGATGATTATGATTGCACAGCAGCGTAGACGACGTGCGGTGCAACTGCAACTTTTTCCGTGTTCACCAATTGGCAGGCTCTGCTTTACTATGCAGTAATGTAGTCCAGTGTTCAATATTTAGGTTGCTGATCATCAGATGGGACTTCAGGTGCGCTTTCAGGTTTGGTTTATGTGCGTATACGTACGCGCTAGTGCAGTATACTTGTGACAAGCAAGGAAGAGTAGGCAGTAGGCTATAAGCAGCGAGCACTGTGCAAAAGTTCTTATCGCACAGAACAGAGGGTCTTCCGCTAGCGTGAGCATTGAAGTACGTGATCGCTGATGAGAAGAGGAGTGTGATGATCGCGAGTGGGTTTGGAAACGACGTTGTAGGCACGGCCGCCTTTAACTACAGGCCGCGGCCTGGTAGAATTGGCAACATCGCAAGTGGTGTTGTTCAGTGACAGAAGTCCCATAAGATAACATGGCAGACAGGTGACATCAGCTCATTAATTCGCACTTTATTGATTTAAATTTAAATTTATGAACATAAATTTATTAATATATTGAAAATAAAACATACAGAATTTAAAACCGAAACAGTATGAATTAAAATCTATATCTGTACATTTTTAAGCCGAGTCAATATTGTCATAGTCCAGTAACCAATCTTTCGTAAATACACAAACCATTAGCTGCTTCCAAACAAAACAGCTGTTACAGCACCACTTGCGACGTTGCCAGTTCGAAGGTCGCGGCCTGGAGTTAAAGGGGGCCGTGGTGTAGGACACCAGCAACTTGTGCTAGACACCACTTAAGTCTGCCATTGAATGAGTCCTCTGTATGCTATCGCTTACTTGCTACTGGGGTGGAGCCCGAAAGGATTTTTGCAATAAGGATAGGTATATATGTTAATTTGGAATGTAAGCTATCATCATGCCAAATTTCACCCCAATCCGTCCAGTAGTTAATGCGTGATTGAAATTCAAACAAACAAACACACAAACTTTCACTTTTATAATTTTAGTATGATAAATAAACTAAAGCTACCATTGATTAAACAGGGAGATATAGTTCATCTCTAACCCCAAACTTTAATCTAAGCATGAAACCAGCTTCATGGTTGCCAGATTTCAAGCCATCCAACTGGTAACTAAAATGAAAAAAATAATTTTACTAAATAAAATAACAGCTGTCTGTCAGTCAAGCAAGTGTCAACTACCCCCCCTCAATCTGTATCCACCTAACCTCTTTGAACGAAAAAGTTAATTTAATAAGACAAACTTATTTACATAATTACCATTGTGTCTCGTCATTGTTAGCATTGTGTTAGTGTGGTGAAGTGATAGACTGGTATGGAAAAAAGTTTATACTTTCAACTTATGTGAGCTTGGATATTAGCCTAGAAGTTTTGTTAGAAAAGCTGTCATTAGTCTGTCAGTAATGATTTTGTCCCTATCACCCACCAATTATTTAACTAGTTGTGTAAATTACCCGAGAAGAAATTCTTCAGAAGAAGAGTAAGGCAGTCTTTTTAAGAAGTATAATTCAGATAAGTTTGCCTGAGCTAACTTACTAGTTTTCAACCAAAATGGGAGCTCACTCAAAGGAGCTCTTTTCTTACAACACTTTAGTCCATGCATTAGCAGGATCTTTGGTAAGTTAGATCTTGTATTATATTTCTCTGATTACCTTTTAACTAGCCTTCGTAGGTAGACTAATCCTAGAATACGTGGTAGACACTACGTTATGGTACATTATGAACATCAGTTAATTGGATGACCTTGTGGTTAAATCCGACGCTTGCAAGACAGAGGGGCTTACTTAAGTATAAGATGATATGCTACAGAGGAGTAAGGTACAGAGGAAACACGCTTGTGGAACAACCGAACCGTGCGCTTTCAGCTCTGGTTGCGGGGGCAGAGATGTACTTCTTGTGTCTTGCAAGGAAGAGCACGAACCCATTGCATTGAGCTGAAATAGGCCTAACTATCGCTCAGGGCTCAGGGTCTTCCTCCACCGTGAGTGTTGTACTTACTACTATGTTGCTGCAGGTCTTTATCCTAGCATTAGTGCTCTCTTAAGTGTACCATGGTGTGTATTCTCCTTCGTTTTGCAAGCAACGAATTGCTCACAATCAAATTAAAATTTGCTGGTTTGAATTTTGCCAAAAATGGAAAATTATTACAATGATTTGGACCTATTTTATTGTAAACATTAGGTTGGTAATTAGTGCTTTCCCACAATGAGATCAAAATTAAATAAGTACGTCATAGTTTCAGACCCAGTTATGAATTTAGGATCTTATCGTAGGCTAAATTCAGTTAATAGTGTGATGATATATAATGATTTTCACATTTACAATTCACCATTAGAACATTCACATGTTTTTGCTAAGACTTTTTATGATTAGGTACTTAACATAAACCTCTCACTCTCAGAACTTGGCTAGGGCCTAATTAAGTAGGTACTAGGGATGGACGAGATTGGATTTCTAGTTCGAGACGAGACGAGACGAGATTTTTTATTTCTCATAAAATTTCAAGACGAGATCGAGACGGGATTTCCCTTCTCATACACAACGGGAAATGCACGTTCAAAATTTTTAACTGATTTTGTAACATTGTTAGATGACTGTTTAAATACAAAAATAATGATTATAGGCAAGAATATTTACAATCTTTTATTAAAAAACATCAGTATAACATTTTTTTATTAATCACGCGTAACTTATTAAAAATGCCTACGATTAGGAAACATAGTGATATCAGTTAGGATAGAGTTCAACTTATCCTAAAATAAAATAAATCATAAAATAAAAGCAATATTAATTTTTATAAAATAGTTAATTGTTTTCACTTTTTATAGTAATAAAACATTCCTCACATTGCTTACACTTAACAAAACTTCTCAAATGTTATTAAAGTAATATTTACATTTAAAGAATTAATTAAATAAGAACACCTTCGCAAAGGAAACGCAACTACAACACGCTCCTGTATTGCGGGTATTGCATTGACTTTCTGCACTCATTTTTAATTTTTTAATTTTTTTTTATTCTCGTTTCGATAAAAATCTCGGCCCCAAAAAAAACTTTGTCTCGTGTAACGAGATTTGAAATTTCCCGAAATTTCGAGACTTGACCATCCCTATACCTAACTTAAATAGCCTTTACACTAAAAGTAAAATTAACTCATCTAAAACCGATTTCTCATGAGTTTCCTCTGATCCTACCTGTTTTAAAAACGTAACTTAGGCTATGTGTTATTGTTGCAGGGAAGTATGGTGGGAATGTCAACTTTCTTTCCACTTGACACGGTTCGGTCCCGACTCCAGTGTAAGTTCAGAAACCACGGTTAGGCCTATAGAGTGGTGAAAAAGTTTAAGGTTGAAGAAAATAACATAGCCCAACAAAATTCATGGTGTATCAAAACTGAGGATATTAATTTAAGTTAATGTGTGTGTGTTTGAAATTATGACATAAACTTAAGTGGTGTAAGTAAATCTGTGGTTCAGTTTATCAACGATTTACTACTGTACCTTTTTGGATCGAAAAGTCCTGTGTTATCCTAATCTAAATTATTTTGTTTGGATACTATTACTTTCAAAACTCTCTAAGCTTATACGTTTCAATCACTTTTCATCTAAGTAGAGAAGCTATCTAAAAAACAACCATTTTTGTTAGTTAAGTTTAGTTTCAAGAGGCAATGGCTGATACAACTTAATGCTCTAGACTATCAATTGAAAATTTTGAGGTTAATTTGAGTATCCTCTTAAATGTATGTAGTAGTGTGTTCTAAACCCTTAAAAATATGAAAATCTGTAGTAAATCCTGGTAGCCAGCCTGGTTTTTGGATTTACCTCATTAAAGTAGAACATTTTGATGTAATAATTGATAAAACATACATTATTACAGTGGAAGAAAACCGAGAAGCTAAGAATACATTTGCAGTCCTTCAGGATCTTGTCAAAGAAGAGGGATTGTGAGTTTTAGTCCATGGAATTTGCTTGTAGAGTGTAGAACTGTGTGTCATGCTATTTAATATTGATTTCTGTTCACAAATTTGCAATCTGCTTTCCAATGCACAGTATTACCTAAGACAGCATAGGTTACATAATTTATAACACAAATACAACTTTATCAACAATCACTATGTCTCAACAACTCGAAACAACAAATAGTATATTATATACATAAACTTGGCGTGGTGGAGTTTAGGGCTTAAAAAAATGTCCTGTCCAAAAATATTGCAAAGATAGAAACATTAACTTTTCAAATGTCAAAGAAAACCAATATGGTGAACAAAATTGCGCTTCTCCTTAACTGAAGAAGAGACAACAAATTTTATGAGTAGTTCTATAAGTTTTCAATTGTCTACTTTTATTGCCAATTCTAATCAACTAGTCTGAAGCTTAAAACCTTTTGTATATTGATCAATGGAATACCATAGATTTAGCACCTGTGTGTGGTTGTAGTTTTAAGCTTATTGTTCACATTTACACTTGCAGCAGTTTTATTTTAGTTAGTCAAATACAGACTCCATCTTAATCAGTCTTCAGCATGATAGTTGTAGCGACAGTGCATTTTACATTTCTGCATAGTTTTTCTTTCTCACAGTATCACGTTGTACCGAGGGATTGTTCCTGTTCTCCAAAGTCTGTGTGTGTCTAACTTTGTCTACTTCTACACGTTCCACGGACTCAAGGCGATGTACTCACACTACACACAATCAGCTGGACGGGACCTCATGTTCGCCTCAGTCGCAGGTTAACAAATTCATATTAATTCAGTGTTTACCTAAATAACTAACTATTTGCTTGTCATATGTTAACTTGAGTGATAAAACCTAGTGTTGATGGAAATTTAGAACATTTCATCTCCAAGTACTAAGTCCGTTAGTGATTTTTCGCTACGCTACTGTGAAATGGCCTGTTTTCATTACATGTTTATCACCTGCAAAAAATCATCATTACATTGTGTAATGGAAAAAGAATGTTTAACCCTTTGGGTGTCAGAAATTTATTTTGGTACTTTCCGAAAAGTGCCAAGGCTTTCCTTGGGGGCGAAGCGTAGTGCACAAGAATAAAAATCGGTAAAAGTATAAATTTTCATCCCAAAAATGCCATGGACCGATATATTGTGCCTCGATCGTATGAGAAATTGATTGAAATCATCGTTGTTTTATAATAATAACCGAGTCAACCGATATGCCCATTAAAACTCACATGATCGAAAGTCGCGCCGGCCCGATATATCGTTACAATGTATTTTTCGGTAAGACTACCGACGACGATATATCGTTGTGAAGTATTTTTCAGACGTGTTGTGCAAAACGATATATCGTTATGTGGCACTCAAAGGGTTAATATGCGTAAGTAATGTTTACTATCTTTTTTGGATTTTGCCGACGTAAACAAACAAAGATTTGATATTGTTTTGTCAACTGTTTCAATTTTCAACAACCAAAACTGTACAACCAAAGTAAATAGTAACTTTAAATTGAAGGCATAGCCTAAAAAATGCTATGAGTTTTGTAATGTTCCTAACTGTAATAAAGAAGTACCCAAAGTTTGTTTTAATTGATAAAATAATTAGTCTTTGTACTGTAGCAAAAGGTAACGTTCAAAACATGAGTGAAAGTGGGTCTATACATATTCTCAACCATTTAAAGAGCTCGATAAATCTCGCACTTCAAACATGCTCTCAATGTTATGACTCACTTTCTACTCTTATTTACTATTTCACTAGTTCAAGTTAAAATTAGCAAAGTTTGAAGTCTTTTTGCTTGTATGGTCAACTATCGCACAAGCTAATTCCATGAACACAAATGGTTTATTTTGGTTACTTTTATAGGTTGTTTCCCAAAATGTCCTTTAGCTCGTTTCACTACAATTACCAAGGTAAACTAATTTTTTAGTCCGTTACGATTGATGTTATGATGGTTGTATGGTTGCAGGTGTGATCAATGTGCTTACGACAACACCGATGTGGGTGGTCAACACTAGACTGAAAATGAGTGGGATCGGCCACGGACGCAGCCCTTCTCGGCTCCCTAGGTATAACGGGATACTAGGTCAGTAAGCAGTAAGACCTCTGAGACTTACTAGTACAACAATAATTTTAGGTAAATAATGTTTGGATTGTTGTCTAATTCTGGATTTATCTGTATGGACTGTAACAGGAAGTTTTAGGACACACTACACTGAAGCTTAACTAAGTAGGCCTAATTCAGTCGTTGAAATAATTGCCTAGTAATCAGTAGATGCCGATGAAATCCTGAAAGAAGTTAGTTGCTTGATTTTTTGAAATTTTATAACCCACCTATTGATGTAAATTGGATGGCAATGTATTTATGATAATATTTTCTGGAAAATAAACAGTGCTGAGTTATGTTCTTAATTATTGGGATTTTAATAACTGTTCCTGGATAAAGAAACAGCTGGTCTTAGCAACAATTCTACCCAAGGCATCTCAATCTACTTTAACTAATTTTCATCCAAGTTATAATACACATGGTATCTGTGTCTTTATGAAATACTAACGCAAATGTAGATTGTGTAAGTTACAATGTATCTGTTTCTCCGTGTTTCTGTTTCTCCAATCACTACTACCTCTATAAAACAAGATTCCCACACTCCCGATATAATAATTTCTAATATAATAATTTCACAGTCCAGTTCAGACTCCATTGATTACACATCAATCAACAAAAATAAAAAAAACTAAGGACACTAAAAAGTCGATACTGATTGTAGCGTGTGTCTTGTGCCTGTATTCCGGCTATACAGACACTGACTTGACGCGGTACTACAATCTACTTATTACTTAGACTTTGACTACACACTACTTTGACTACTTATTACTTTGACTTAGTGGAGCCGCCTGTTGGCTGCAAAATGTAGCGCGAAAATGGTCCGAGTTCCATTTCCGCGCAACGCTGCAGACTGTCGCTAGGGGAGCCACCATCGTTTGATCGCTGCCTTCCCATTTCTTCAACTGACCAGCTACAATTTGCAGTGCGGCAATCTACGGCAAGTGGAGCCGCGGCCTAACAGTGTTAAAGTAATAGGAGATGACCACACAATGTTACTGAAACCTCAGATGATGCTCTCCAGTGTTGAATTTAACTGTTACAGATGGTCTGAGACGCATCAGTCGTGAGGAGGGAGTGGGGGCGTTGTGGAACGGCACATTACCCTCACTGCTGCTGGTGATCAACCCGGCACTACAGATGGCTGTGTATGAGAGTATCAAGAGACGTCTGGCTGGATCAGAACTCAACACACTGGGGTACTTCATGATCGGAGCTGTGGCCAAGGCCATCGCTACCACTCTCACGTATCCGCTACAGCTGGTGCAGACTCGGCTCAGGGTAGGAAAATGTTTTGGTTGTATTGTGTCTTGCTGCGCAGAGAAGTAAGGAATAGAGGATACACGCTTATGGGACAACAGTGCGCTTTCAACTCTGGTATGTTGTGCGGGAAATATACTTGTGAAGATGAAGGAAAACTCCGAATGGTTAGCACTGTGCGGGAATTCCTATTGAACAGGGCACAGGGTCTTTCTCCACCGTGAGCGTTGTAGTACATGAGGGCGAGGGGGGCAGTGTTGGATTTTGCCCAAGACACCACTGTGTACTATGGAGTGTCCTCTATTCCTTACTTTTGTGTGTTTACTATCAGTTAATTGTTTTTAAGAGGTTAGACTTTTTAACCCTCCATTTGCCCCTAAGGAGCAGGACCTTGTCTGTAAGAATCAAGCCAAGTAAGGGGTGAGCTATTACTGTATAAGAATGAACTGAACTAATACATTTTTAATTTAGGTAGTAGCGCCAGGATGCAAACCTGTGACATTTTTGCGATGAATATTTTAATATTTACCATCTGACTAAACCACCAACTCACCTTGTGCCCAGGTTGATATATTTTTAAAAATCTTTCCCTCTTGTATTATTTTGACACTTTCTTTACAATTTTCTTCTTGGATTAGTATGTTTAGGAATCCAAAATGTTATAATTTTGATTCCTGACTCTTATCTATAATATTAACAGTACTATTTCCTTTCTTGATCTTTAAAATGTTTTTCAGTGGTCTATATTGTATCAATGTACAGTGGGTCATATCACACTGTATAATGTACAGTGGATGAATCTTCTCAATAGGGCTAGACTCCTATATTAAGAATACCCTGTTACCAACCTACCCCTGGTAACAGGCCAATTGGTTTATTACCCAGTTAGCCAGCTGGCTGGTGTTACCCTGGTCCTATAGCCTGTTGTAATAGAACTGATTATATTTGATGTGTGCAAGGCTCAAAAGATGTTGAATTTGTTCAATTTAATTAAATTTAATATTAACCGTGTTGCAACCTTTCCGCTATTGTCCTAACAGAAATCACCCTTAAAGTACATTTCAAAGTACAATCCAAAGCTGTAAAGTATTTAAGACACAGTAAAGCAGTATAATGTTCTGTTCCCAGCACGGCCACAACTACCGAGACCTCTCTCCAGATGCGGGCATGGTGGAACTCACTGTATATATTTTGAAGTAAGTTCTTAAAATGCTAATATTTTTAAATAAGAAATTTTTAGAAAAGAAATAGAATTTAGCTAGCTCACCTGAGATAGTTATGAGTCCATGGGTGAATAGAAACACAATAGAAGAACACAAAACATAACAATGATATTTAGTCCTGATGTAGGACTTCTTCAGGAAAAGGTTATAATCACTTCATCAGAAGGTCGTTGATTCAGATACAGTACAGTTAACACACAAAAAGATGCAAACGAAAATTGAATCATCTTAAAATGACTTCATGACAAGTCAAAACGAGTTGTGGCACAAACTAGTGGGTTATGGAGAAGCAAGTATTTAAACCAATTTTGATACACAACAAAATCCGGTCACTTCCGCAGCTTTACAGGCCTTGGTGGCCTATGGCTTCTGTTACAATTCACCTCCAATTGCCTCGATCTTGCGCCATCTCTTTCCAATTCCTCACTCTCAACATCCTCAGGTAACCCACTTCATCTAGCCGTCTTCTTCTCGGCCTACCCCTTCTCCTAATCCCTTCCATGTTCTGGCACAATAGTTCTTTGGGCTGTCTTTCTTGAGGCATTCTCTCCACATGGCCTAACCAACGGATCCTTCTAGCTTTGATGAAGTGCACAATATCCTCCCCTTGCAAAATGTCATTTATTTCTACATTCTTCAATATCCTCCATCCATCCCCTTCCTTCACCGCTCCATGTATTCTTCTTATTATTTTCCTTTCGAACACTCAGTGCATTTGTGTTCACTGCAGATAGGGACCAGGTTTCTGCACGGTACGGGGTTACAATAAAAATGTATCAAGTTTGATTTTAAAGAACCAATTTGGTTTATTTTTCTTCAACCAATAGCTAAGTTTTTACATTAAATAGTTTTCATGAAAACATATCCTTTGTGTTATAAATCAGTTGTACTTTATCAAATCAATCTATTTAGTTTATAAATTGTTAAATGACATACAATTGATGACAATGGTGTTGTTTTCCCAGGAAGTTTGGCATAGCCGGACTGTACAAAGGGATGGAGGCCAAAGTGCTACAGACTGTACTGACAGCTGCTTTGATGTTTGCTGTTTATGAGAAGATCGCCCATTTTGTGTTCAAGATCATGATGGTTCAACCAAGGGTGTGAGCAAGTTTTGTTTGGTACAATTTTTTGAGAAAATTTCATAATTTATTTAATATATGAATTATTTAAAGTTTTTTTTTCAACAAGAACCTGTACAAACCAGCGTGATATGTACAAGCCGTGAGTCTGCCAAAGTTAATACTTGTATAGACCGGGAGTTAAACGAAGGCTTAGAGAACATTCAAAACATTTTTGTTTCATTATACAGAGCAAAATTTTAAAAAATCTAATTTTAGTATTTCAGTGTTTCCATTATTGGGTTTTTAATATGGTGGCTGTGGCTAAAGAACCATTAGATCTTCAACAAGTTGAATATTTCATTTAGGCTACTTATCTCTGATCATTTACTCATTTACTTTGCCTAAACTATAATCCTTGGTGTACTTAAATATTTTTAGTTGAAATCGGTTTTTTTTTTAGTTGAAATTGTTTTTTTTTTTTTTTACACTTGGCTTAACGAAGAAGGGAAGGAATACTATATACATTCTTCCAAATAGTGCCAAGACTGCCAAGTCCATTACATTTCTTTTATAACAATTTATGAAATTATATAATAATTTGGTATTAATCGTATGATATCACTTATCACACTACACTCATCTCCATTCTTACTTGGCTCAAAATACCTACCTTTGTATGGTCGCCAATCAGATAACAGTATTTAAGTATTAAAAAAAAAAAAATATATCTGAAAAATGACGTGTTTGGAGTAAAACCTAGTAGTATACTGCTAATAATGTTATACTAAATTCCGAGAAATTTGGATTTTTGAAATCTGGATTTTAAAGACCCTACTACAAAATAGATAAAACTATGTTTACCATCTAATAATTTCTATTCACTTATATCAACCAAAGAAATGATATGACCAAGTATTACCAACATACATGTTTTGTTGAGAAGTTAATGAATAGTATATTTCGTACCTAGGGCCGAAAATGAGAACTTAAAACGATCAAGAGCTGCAAAACCATTTCGGTCCGTGGTACGAACGCTATTTTTCACCACACTATACCCTATTACCACTATTCACCACAATAATAATGCACACTGATAGTCAACACAACTACAACTTTAAGGTTATGTGAAGAAATAATTTGAGGAATCAGCAAAAATAATAATAAATAGTTGCTAGGCAGCGGTGACAATAAAACAATTCTAATGCAATGCTATGGATACTGATTGTGTATTTAATATGCTTTTATGTTTTAAGAAAGTAAGCGGGCAGCTGATTTTGCGGCCCTAGGGATGTAAAAACCTGCTCGGTCCCCAAATCACGACGACAGCTGGCATGGCCAGTAAAACGTAACTCTCAGCCACCAATTAACGTATGTAAAACAGCTAAAAACGTCATAGTGTGGTGAAAAATCATTTTTGTAAACTAATAATTTCTGAACTGAAAGTGTTTGGAATACTATAATTTGAATAATTTATTTATTTTATTTCGCTTTCTTCTACTTATTGTCTTTAAAATTTTACTGTTTTAAATTATGTTACTGTATTAGGTTTTGTCTTATGAGAATCATGAAAATAGCAATATGTCTATTGATAGTTAGCTTTTAAATCCGTGTTGTTTTGAATGTATTAGTTATTACTTTATTTTCTACTCAACATGTTGTGATTGCTGTGACTGTTCTTTTCTAAAAATAAACCTTATACAAGTGTTGTAAATCATTAAACACTTGACATTTTTATCTTAAGTTTATAATTTATTTTATTGCCTTCCTTCAAGCCCCAATGGCTGACTATTTTCCATCAAGAGCTTTTTAAAGAAAACATCACTTACAAACCTATGCAAGCATAACCACAGAAAACATACTACTATAACCCAGAATGCTGACCGCGTGGAGCTTTGCCTGTCAATTTGTAGGCAGCGCCACCAGCATTGCTATGCTAGTACATTGTATGCTGGTGGCGCTGCCTACGAATTGACAGGCAAAGCTCCACGCGGTCAGCATTCTGGGTTATAGTAGTATGTTTTCTGTGGCATAACTCACTAATAACGGCTGAAAGCTGTACCCTAGGAGTCAAGCTCAAAACTACGATTGGACATAAGGTTTTCCAGTATTGTTGGGGTAAACCGTGTGATACCATTGTTAAGTCTGAGAAATTTCCGAGTAGTCTAAGACACTCTCAATCCAGCTAGGACTAAATCCAAGGGTCTGAATCCCATCTCAGTACAACCTATACAACTTATGAGAAGTTCACGTTGTGGCGGAGTTTGGTGAGAGGCACACCTAATAAATGGTGGGCGGTCGTTTGTTTTAGTTCTACCAAAATCTGGCATTTTGCTATATATGCTTATCCTCCATTGAACTGTGTGTGTTGAACTCTTGTTTATAAGAAATTTGGATTTGTTTGTCAAAAGTGCATGGGGAACAGGATATGAAATAGACATAGTAAAATTAATAAATAATCCGTAGAGCGCAAAATAGTTGAAAAAAATCAAACTACGAGTGAAAGTGGACATATTCACACATATACATATTTATATAGGCAGGGCCGTCAGAAGGGGGGGGGGGGCAACCGGGGCAAGCTGCCCCGGTTTTTTAATATTATTTTTTTTTTTATATTAAAAATATGCGAATGCGACTATTACTGGGGGGGGGGGGAGGGGGCGCCACAACCACGTTTGCTCTGGGCGCCGCCAACCCTAGGAACGGCCCTGCATATAGGTACATATAGATATTCTCGACCATTCAAAGCGCTCGATAATATCGCACTTCAAACATGGTCTCAAATATGGAATGACTCACTTTCTACTCTTGTTATAAAATATTCTATCATTACTTAACCTTTCTAACACTGTGACACTAAATTGGGTGAAACTCATAATGTCATCGAGTTTGATACTAAGTGTAATTTTAGATCAGTATTTTTTTGCAACTTAAGCAAAAGACACACACAATGACTCAAGCTTTATCACTGAACTTTCGCCTGCTCCAAGCATGTGCCATCTTAATGTTATTTAATGGTGGTCACGCTGCTTTTTAGCGAATTTCCCATATAGGGAATAAGCTATTAATGTTTTTTTATTGTTTGTGTGTGTGTGTCTGTCTGTGAACGAATATTCACTCGTGTTGAAGAGTTAACATTGCTTAATGACTAGGCCACTATGAGCTTTGGCAACCTTGATAGTTTAAACTATTGTTAAAAAATCTCTTGACATTACACAAGGTGATTTTACCTTTTATTGTATAGAATTTAAACTTTTGTTATATTTTCTGAGGCAGCGTATTGGTGACTTTTTGGTTCAGCAGTTGATTCTGAAGCTCCAGATGTTTGTTTTTCTCCACTTGCTGAATCAGCAGCTGTTTCAGCTGAGACGAATCCTCCTTCACGCAGGCTGCCACTAAGCTGCTCAACTCATTTATTTTCTTTTTTAAATGCTCTTCCTTTAAAGAATAAAACAAAATATCACCTCACATAAATGTACTAATTATCAACCAAACACAAATTTATACCTACAATTTTAAAAATTGTCTCCTGCAAGTACTTAAAAATGTTCATTGGACTTGGTTTAGGGGTTTTCCAGGGGTGTTGTACTACTATCTTTCTATGCAAATTTGTAAATCGTTAGCAGTAGATTAGTTTATTATTAACAAAGACTAACCAACACAAGTAGACTTCTCACCCCATTATAAATTTTGAAGCTCATTTATCGTGTCTAGTTCATGTGCTACACTGATTGCTAGTGTCGACTTTAATTCTATTATTTTAGGGTTAATTTCATGGTTCGTGCTTTACTGTTTGGTTATATAACTAAGAGACGAGTTATTGTTTATGATTAGATCGCATTATTTGGTTAAACGAGATTTTAAATGACCGAAAAAAATTGAAATAAAACATGACCTCTACAGTACACCGTACAGAACTAACAATAAAATTGGCTTCAGCTGTTCCATAAGGATGAGAAATCTACTAAGAGAGTATGTTTTATCTATGTTATTATCAAAAACTGTAGTTTACTTCAGTTGTGTAATGAAACAGCTGATGAATACAATTAAAATATGGTTATTTTGAGTATCGCCTTCCAGATTACTTCACAAGTAACCTTTATGTGTGTTTATGTCCTTGTATGTTTAAGACTCATGATGATCCCAACTACAAATTTTAAATTTTTTCTGCTTGAAAATGACACAGTTGTTGAAATGGGCCGCCATTAGATGACTATAGGATGACTATGCCAGAAAGATATTGTAAAATAGGTATGGTTAGTCTTGGGCATGTACAGTTTGGTGAAATTTTGTGATTTATTCTCATCCAGGGCATGAGAAAGACGTTGACATAGTTCCTCTTTTGATGTTCAGTTTGGAGAACCAGATATTTTAATTATTAATTATTGGTGCACAAACTTTGAAATATAAATTAAATAAAATTTTTAAATATCCACAAAATCAACTTACCAATGCTTCTTTTTCTTGGCACACTGTAATGTAACGATCACTGACTTCCTTTATAACTTTGTTTTTGTGAGCCAACTTCTTGTGAAGGTTGTATACGTGGTGCTGCAGTCATAGTAATATTTTAAACTCATTTACAATGAATGTTTCATTGGTTTATTTTGACAAAATACATTTCATATACAAATCACAAATACACCTAACGTTAAAAACTTAGTTAAAAAATACATATCTCAATTAGTTTGATAGTGAGTAAATTAAATTTACTCATAACTTTATTTCATTCAGTGACCATTAGGTTTGAAGAATAACTCTCTCTTCCTTAGTGATTGTGTCAGCGACAGTGAAATATTTTGTGTATAGTCACACATGTAATGTAAAGTTGTATGTGTTAATGTATATGTGTTTTTTCTACTGTTGACTTTTTTATATTCTGGTAAGCTTGTTCCTTAGTCCACAAAGTGCTTTGGATTGTGATTACCCAGACTTGCTGCTACTTTTTGTTTAAACTTTTTTCATTAATAATGTGGTGAGTTTGAAACATAAGTATCACAAAAAATATACACTGCGTGATGGATTCTGTCTCCTGATTCTCGCCTGCCGTTAAAGGCCCAAGCAGATGGAGGGTCAGGGGACAGATTCCATCATACATACTATAGCATGACTATGTGACTCGATAATAGCAGCTAAGTTTGAATGTGTACCGTACTTATGTTTAATCACCTACTATCTAGCGCAACATCAAAAACATTCTAAGAGTTGAAGAGGTTTTAGTTCTGCATAGAGGAGTATTACCTGCAGACTTGCGACATGCGCTGTTGCTTGTTTGACTTTTGTTTCATAGCCTTGCACCAAGTCTTGCAGCCTTTTGCTGGTTCTCACAAACATCGACATAACTTCATCTCTGGATCCATCGTCTCCCATGTCTATACAAACAGTTAACTGACCGTAACACAGATATAAATGTTGGTAGAAAAAGTGTCTGTTGCCTAAAGTGTTGGGGGTAAATACTTTTGATCATCTGTATGCAATTAACTTAACTTGTGTATAAACTTAATAGATATGGATACTAGAATAAGGTGGAACTACTCTCCCCTTTCTATTGTTTGTAACGGTGAAGCTGGTTATAATAAGCAAACTGGGGAAAATTTATTACTTGAATATAGTATGGATATTTAGGTAGGTAACCATTGAGCATAGAACGGATAGGTAATCTAACTAAATAAAAAAAATTACTCGTACATTTTAAAAGTTTAAAGATCCTTGTTCTTATCCCTAAAATGCAGATTTTTGAGAAACAACCCATTCCCTTCCTCTTTCAGAAACCCAATTATCCCTTGATCAAGTATAAAAGGGGCTCTTTAAAAATACTTATATTTAAAAAAAAATAGTTTCTTCACTTGTTAATCAAATCATACAACATATATTAAAAATGAAATTTTGACTTTACAAAATATTACTAATAGTGCGTAGGCCTAGTAATCTCCTGCATTAAAATAAAACTTATTCCTCACCCAGGTTAGTTTGTGGGCCATGCACTTTATTTGTTGATTCAGTTGATATAAGGTCTTCTCCTATTAGATAAGGTGTTATGTCTGTATCATCTGAGATATTTATTTTGTCCTGTAAATATAAAAAAGATCTAGATACAGAAACTTAACAAATAAGTTTGTTAAGCTGGGTTTTCCTAGCCGGGGAAGAGGAGCGCCGAGAGCGGAGAGAGGAAAAGAGATTAACGTGTTCCGCTCCGCTTCTAGGAAAACAATAACATTAAATTGCCTAAGACAAGTGGAGTCCGCTCTCCGCGTTACCCGTTCCACGCTCCACTTCCGCACCTAGGAAAACTCGGCTTTACTGAGTTTTTGTAAAAAAAGAATTAATGCTCTGCGGTGAAATAATTGAATTTCACTATCCCAGGCCAGGTTGGAAAAACTGTGTGATTTAATTTCCATGTTCATGATCATTATTAATCATTATCATTTGTTAATTTCATGTTCATTGTGATGATTTACGAGTTCATTGATGGATTCACTATGACCATGGCATCATCCCTACAAACAGTATGACACGAGCACAAACAAACAAAAGTATACGACTCTGTTCATTTTTTTTTCACAGTTGAGTTATCTACTAAGTAGCTATGGGATTTTTTAGGTCAGCAATTAGAAAGTTTTAGTTTGAATTTTGTACACAACCAAACCAAAACAATTTTGAATCGCCTGATCTGTATGAATTGCATCTGAATTAAATACCTAGGTGATGTTAATTAGCGTAAAATATTTGAATTTTTAGTATTTTTTGCACAATACCAGATTAACATTTTATAAACTATAATGCATGAATATTTGTGGTAAGTTGTCTTTAAAGTGTTGCCTACAGATTTGTTGTCATGTTCTTTAAAATATAAGATCTCACCTCTTCATTATTCTCTCCCATGGCTTTACTGCTTAGAAAATGTCGAGCTAGATGAGTTTTATCTTTAACTGCACAGGTCATGTTTTACAGTGAATAAAATTTAACTAATATTACAAGTTTTCAACTGAACGACAAATCATTCACATTAAATTTACTACCAAATTAAACTATGTAAGAAAACAATTTTTGAAGTTTCTATGGTTTTTAATATTTCTAAGAATGAGTATTTCTATCATTGAGTTAAGCTAGATTTGTTGTTTTTTCCTTTCAAGTCGCATAGACAATCGTATAAAAAACTGAGCTGGAGAAAATGGAAAATAGATGATGATTTTTAGAATATATAAATATATTTCCAGGTCCTTATTGGATTTTTATAAGTTTAAATAAAATAAGACAATTGGCAAATTCCAATAAGTTTACAATAATTAATCTCCCCCTTGGATAATCAGGACTGGAAGATTAACAGATTGTTTGTCTCTCTTCTATTATGTATTTCAAACTGATAGGAAAACTTATTTTAAGTTATAGCATCATGTATGACATTAACTATTTCAGTAACAAAATATTAGGTAGAAAATAGAATGTTTAGACACTATTAGAGTGTCTATATATTTAAACATTCATATATTTATCAAAAATATTTCCCTCTAAAAACTGGGGGGTGTCCACCCTTATTCCCCCCCTGATAACTGGCACTATAAGGCTGTTTAAATTAACAAAAACTTTTATCAGTAAGGAATATAGTAAGTAAATAAAAAGGGTAAAAAATAAACTAAACAGATTATTTTGTTAAATACATTTAAGAACATCAAGTTATTCATGCTGTGGCTTAATTGGTAGAAAGGTACTAATCAAAGTAAGTAGAACAGCCTCACTTATTACCAGCAGTATTACAAAATTTGTTTAACTGTAAGATTTTAATTATTTAAACAATGTTTTTTAAATTTCTGTTTTAAGTAATTAGTATTTAAAATTAACTTTAAAGTGCTTAATTGTATATTAGTATTGTTAGTAGGTTATTTATGAAAGAAATGCATATAAAACAACAACACAATTACCCTTATGGTGTTTAGAAAATTGTACAGAGTAATCATTTGAAAAGTATTTTCTAGTTAGTACAAAACATTAGTTAAGTTGAGTGTGTATTATATTATGATAATTTTGCTTCCTAGCCCATTGATTGAACTAAATATTTTTTTATTGCTGTATTAGTTTGGTATAGTCATCTAATTTCAGCTTCCCTGCCTAATTTACAAAATTTTCTATTTAATAAACTACTCAAATTCAAATAGAAAATGTTAAAGGATTCCAATGGGACGAAGAGGTGTTCAGTACTGAGTCCCAATAAACTGTGGCTGTACACTTTTGATGGTTCCGGAGAGAGGAATGCAGTGTATACCCCAGGTGGGGGCAGAGCCCTGTTTGCCTGTGGGGGTAGGTAAGTAGGCCCCCATCACTAGGTAGGCGGGGGGCGGGGGTGAGGACTGGCAGTTAGCGACCAATAGAGAACAAACAGTGACGACTGCTCCGAAACTTAATGTTAACAGTCCTGCCAACTGGCACATCATCTGGAACAAACAAAAATAAGTTACAACATTTTAAAAAAATCGTACGGTTGTCCAAAATCACTGTGGTAGATTGATAAAGGATCATGATTCCAGTTGGCATCAAGAAACAATAAGATGGTTAATTGTTGGAGAAAGAATACTTAGAGATAAACAGTCTGTATGTAGTAACATACTAAATCACTAACATTTTATGTTGTTTCCTGGACCCATCATTGAACCTTGATCATAGAAAAAGGCTCTAGGTTCTATATTTAACTGTACACATCTCTATTTTGTAATTTAATTGTCAAAGGAAATTTTCTACACGAATATGAAATGGCTATTTTGCACTATGCAATGAAAATGCTGGTGATGTGATAAAGAAAATGTTATTGAGTGTTATAAGAACTAATGTAAAAGTTTTAAGCCTGATCCAAGTCACTTTTAATATTAAGACCACCAGTATTGATAATTTTATCGAGGAATTGTCACTCAGTACTGTAGCTTTGCAACCATAATTAGTTTTGCTCAATTCTCTTTTGCTTTCAAACATTGTTTTTTAATATTCTTTTACCAGATGATAATTAAAGTTGACTGCCCATCTGTCCAACACCGTGAACTCCTGGAATTGCCCTACAACTGCTTGACGAGGAGGAACCATGTAGCCTACCAACAGTGCTAGACCACCCAGGCACACCAGGTTGATGCCAATCCACAGCCCCGCTCTGACCCAGCAACCCCTCCGCTGCGGCTCCGCCAAGAACCGGAAGTCATCCCCCTGGGGAAAGAGGAAGCTACAAAGCATATTGGAAAACTACACTGCTATACTCCGTTGACAAAATTTAGGCGGTTTAAGGAGAAGCGATTACATCCCGTCCACCCGCAACTTTAAAACAACAGCCTGATCAGCTGATGTATTGGATAAAGCTGAAAAAAATGGTGGACTAACCTAGTAAATTTTTTTCTTAAACCGCCTAAATTTTGTGTACGGGCTATGAAAGATGTTGTTGTAGTATGATTTTGTATAGTCATAACTCGCTGCAATTGTTATTTATCATCACACTCAAATGGTTTTAATTTGCATTTATCCATGCCATTTTATTGTGATTTTTGTAAGGGACCGTTTTTGTCCAAACTTTGGTGTTAACATTCTATAATGTCAACATAATGTTAAATATCACATTAATTAGCTCAATTTTAAATTACTTCGATTAATTGATCACACGCTCGGAACCGAACCAGTGACCTTTAGATTTGAAGGTGAGCACTATAGCCTTGACTACCCAGATGTATTGCTGTTGAGATATACAGGGTGTTTGAAAAATGTCCTACATTCTTCTAGGTGTATTTTAATCTTAAAAAGATCTTAAACTATCATGGATGTCTATTAGATTTTTAACTGTAGCAGTAATTGGGTCATTTGCGATTTAATCAAAACCACCAGATGTAGTACTACTTTTTGTGCACAAAATATAAATGCTACAGAAAAAATCTACAGACTAATCAAATATTTAGTTGCTTCCCTGAATTTTCTTACAGATTTTCAAAGGAATTTAGACTGACGTGTTCAGTCCAAAAAAACATCATCACATCTTTAATGCTGCGACAATTTTCTTTAGGAATTTTAATTGTTCATTTCTGTGAAATCGTTTCTTAAGATCACCAATAAATACATCCACATACCTGTGCGTATTCACCACTCTTGAGGACTTCTTTATCCGGAGGTCCGTAGAAGTGATGTAGATAACTCTTAATACCATAGTATAAACCACAGGACGGATCCCTGCTTCGTGAAGCCCCAGGTGAATTAGCACAGTTGTTACAATCATTCATTTTCTTTTCTTTTGAAACGTTTGTGTGCATGTTGTTTACATCTGTCATTTTACCTTCAGGTTCCCCCGATGTCTGTTTACCGATAGGTACAGCACAGTGATCGAAGTGGAAAGGTTTCAATTCTGGTTTGGACGGAGAGATTGTGTTTTCGTTCGGTTTTCGTGTCACGGTATCTTCAGCAGTCATTCTTAACTACATAGAATTCAAATATTCTTGGCTGTTTGAAAAAAACAGTTTTTCAGTTTGAGAACTTGCATGATAATTGAGGTTGTTGTAAAGTTGTATATTATAAGCAATTGCGCAAATAGTTGATCACATACATTAATACTGACTTGAAGCCAATTAAGAGTGATTAGTCATCAGTTGTAACCAAGTACGCATTCATTTACTTACCTAAAATTGTTAAAAATCGAAAAAAAATAAAAATAAAATTGTTAATGTTTAACATCGTCATGCTTGTCTAAGAAATATGTGTATTATGAAAAATTGATAAGAATTACTGTGCATGTAAACTTTGAAGCATGAACTATGTTCCTGAAGGAAATATTCAAAACAAAAATAAGCGTATTAACAATAAAATACAGTAATAACAATTTCTGAAAAAGATTCCCATGCCATTTAGTTTAATATACAGTATTTTAAAATTTAAACCATTGTAAACTACCAATCAATCCGACATTGTTTTATGGATTTGACCACAGATAATATAACCCCTATTTGACACATAAAAACAAAGATACTTTAGCCTTATTTGCTTCTATGTTATACTTTGTTAGTGATATGAATATCACTACTGTAATATCAATTTGGTGTAAACTCCAAATTACTCTGTAAAACATACAAGACTGAAATGATTACAATACTATTTAATATTTAGGTACTTACAGAAGTAATATGAAGCGAGAAAGTTGAGATGATCAGGGCCAGGTACAGCGACACATGCAGAACAAGTGTTTGCGATCACATGACGTAACAACAGCTGTTTAAGCCTCAATTGCAATTTTATAATTACCCAATATCGCTTCATATTTCAAATTAAAAATCATGTAAAACTTCAAAATCATGATTCTTATAGTGATAAATTAATTCAATACTTTCACTTCCCTGTTGCTGTTGTCAACCAACCACTAGCTGATAATAGTGTTGTTTGTTGTTGTTGTTTGTTGTTGTTGTTTAATGTTCAGTTGTTTACCAAGGCTTGCTAATAAATCATGTTAAGATGTTTGTTTTGGCCAGCTAAGCTATTTCATAATGCAATTTTAATTAATTAATATTCAAACTCTCGTCTTATAAATAAGGTTCCCTATACTTTTATTTATGATATTGTTATTTTTTTTGTGAAGTAGAATCTTAAAAGTTTTCTATTCTCAATACCTATATAATTTCCATAGCATGTTCTAGGCGAGGAAAATATGCTAATTATTTTGTGGGACCCACTTTCTAACAAGTCCTGATGGATATACTTCTGACAAAAATAAGTTAGCTAATAATTAAGAAATCTAAAAAGAATATGTAAGAAAGTTAGAAGTTAAAAATATGCAAATTCTCAATGTTCCTAATTTTCTTTTTTGGTAAAATGTAACAACTTATGCCCTGATTTAGAATAAATTAATTTGTTTTCCATGAGTTTTAAAGCTATTGCTTTCTAAAGGAAAAGCTATACAATAAGAGGCCATTCATTTATAAAATTCAATTTTCATCACAAATAGGCATTGGATATACTGTAATTATTAGGCATAATATCTATGGTTTACTTGCAAGAAAGTTATTTTAACTACATATTGCATTGGTTTTTGCAATAAATAGCTGCTTGTTGTGAAAAAAAATATAATAAACAGTTTCCGTAAAAAATGTGTCTTTAGTTCCATGTTCCATTTTAACATATTTAAAAGATTGAGCTCTTGTGAATTATTAGCATAATGAAAGTATATCAACACATCAAGATAATTTTTGAGGTATCCTATTGTTTTTTAATGTTTTCAAGATTTTGATTTTGAATCGAGACACCAGCGCTGACAATTACAGTGGTGAATGTTGGAACTATACTTGAGTAGTTCATCACTTCGCCACCTAGCGCTAGTGTACTGTGTGAAGTGCTGTGGCTGGAGTGTGGAGGCCAAGTTAGGAAAAAATTAGCTTGGACGGACTGCTGATGAATACATACGAATGCTGACGGAAGTACATTATTGCTGATCAGCTGATATTAATGTGGATTTCTAAAGTAAAAATCATATTTTGGTTTTGGGCATTTTGTGTATCAATACCAAAAATTCTACCAATTGTTTTCTAAGAATTGATGAACCGTCTTAATTGACCAGATATAAAATTAGTGACCGTGACAAATTATTATCCACTTTGATACGAAAACAAATTGGACGTTTGGAAAATAACAGCCAACGAAGGAAGGCAAATCCACCTGCATTATAAAACAATGCATTCCATCTCAATAAATTCAGTCTTTTCTCAAATGTTTAATGGCCTTTAACAATGTTAATAAGACCAGATAAGCTCAAAGAGAACCAAGAGCAGACACAATATTGTTTAATTGTTTTACCACAAAAAAAAACAAAAAAAAACAGTCATATTTGAAAACAGGCGCTTCCCCGAAAAAAATTCTTCGACCATTTGCTACACAGTTTAAAGAAATTTGACAAAATGGGGAACAGTGTAGACTTAAAATACCAGTATCTATATAAAGTCATGTCTTCAATTAAATTGTGAAGGTTATGGGAATATTGACGATAAATGGGGTTTCTAATCAATTTTTAGCGAATTTCCCATATAGGGAATAAGCTATTACCGTAGTACTCATGGTAAGACCTGGACCCGGGACCGATTTTTTTTTCGTTTTGAGGTCCCTAGAGGCCAAAAACACCATCCGTTCAAATTCATATATATATATATATATATATATATATATATATGTGTGTCCGTTAGCGCGATAACTCAAGCAAAAATGATCCGATTTTGATGAAATTTGGTACAAACGTGTAAACCTACGTTTATTCGAACGAGTTCGCGAACCAGCATGATCGGACTATGGGAACAGGGGTTTATGGGGGCTTTTATGGGGTAAAAATGGGTTTTTCCTATTTTTGACCAAAAAAACATAAAATTTTGAAATTTCTTTCCAAACTATTTTGTAGAGCTTAAAAAAACAAATAATTTAGTATATTGAAGCGTTATAATGCGCCTAATGGTTACGGAGAAAATTCCAAAAAATTGTTAATTTAAAATTCCCATGTTATTCTTATGGAGAATAAGTAAACTGTTGTAGTGTGCTTGTTTATTAACATATTTTGCCCAAATTTGGAAAATGTTTTTATTTCTTACTAACTATTAACATTTTACATAAAAAAACACTTTTACCCTCCCTGTTGCAGCAAACCTTAGTATGTGTTAAACTGATTCTATTAAAATAGGGAATAAATGTGATATTTTTAAGGAGAAATTTTAGTCTAAATCCAATCAGGCAAATAGAAATTCGCTTAGTTTGCAGGTTTGCTGCGGCGGGGGTATTTTTTTTGCTACAGACAAATATATTTTAAATACTTTGATGCGTAGTAAAAATAATTTTGGCACCATACATCAAATAATCCATGCATAACCTTCAACCTAAATGCATGTTATAGGACCATGGACCATCGAGGGTTATATTTAGTTAAGAGGGTTGAAACTCAACCTTTTGATACAATGTTGATTCTTCTAGTTCCAACCATTGGACATTAGAACATGCCCGAATAAGTGGCTATTTGAAATTAATTGTAACCGATATGATAATCAACGGCAGCCCGCAAGTGTAACGTCTGGGGCAGTATGCACAGGTGGGGTAGGTAGGGGTGAGACAGATGATAAGACACCTGCAGACCAACTGATAACACCCAGCTGGTCTACAACTGGCCAACTATCGACACATGTTGGTACTACTGGGGTAAACACTAACGGAATTGTAACGTAAAAATGCACCAATTTTATACGTTTAACACTTGTAAAAAAGAGTTTTCATCACTCCGTACAAGTTAATATTTTCGATAACAGGTGAAATTAAATAATGGTTTTCCAAGCTATAATTTCTAGCATGGGAAAACGATCAGCTTATCTTTTCGTGCTCTAAATTTACTTTCCCTCGCTCTCAATCAGTTCTCTATTTCTCCACCACACTATTGTATATTTACCATTTACTTTTATAATAAATCAGCTGTTTTACTGTTCAACAATGCAAATGTAAAAAGAAATATACATAAGCTAGTGTTGCTGTGTTTTTAGCGTATGTGTTTACTGCACTATAAAAATAACCTAGAACTTATAATTTTTAAATTGCCAGGAGGGTTTTTATAACCCATTTTATTCAATATTCAAGCAACATTTAACTAGGAAATATAATAGTTTGATTTTAATTATTCCGAAATTTGTATGTGAGTATTTTTGCACAGTGATTTTAAAGTATTGTAAAACTATCTGTTAGATATAATTTACTATTTTGTTAAATATACAAACCATTACTATCTTATATTATTTTAACTTGCACTATTAGGCTATATATAATTTTATAAAAATTATATAGGCTAATTCCACTTTGCATATTTTGGACTATTTGATTAACCACATCTATCCACTGCAATACGTTTGACCATAGACAAAAAGAATTAAATATAGACCGTACACCGTCAGCTGTGCTGTGGTTACTATAGGTTCTAGCGCACACCACTGGGAGCGCCATGTAGTTACGGCGTATGCGCTACGTAGCTACACGGCGCTCCCAGCGGTGTGCGCCAGAACCTATGGTAGCCATGGTAACCGCAGCACAGCTGAAAGTCTATATTTTTATTCTTTTTGTCTATGGTTTGACCTAAATACCACTTCGACCCATCCAAATATCTTGACTTCTAAGGACTTGGAAATTATATACAAGCTCTTTTCCGTATGTTGTCTTGCCTCACTGACCAAATGGACTACCAAATTAATCCTAAGCCTAATAATTCAACTGAAGATCCAGATGTATAACGCCACCTTGTTCAGCTGTGCAGACAGATGTGGAAGTTTACATGTGCCACTGTGGCATTATGGCAGCATCAGCTGGTCACGCTGTGTGGCACCTGTACCCGTACACATCATCTGTCCGGAAATCCACACGATTATGGGAATAATTGATTCAGAACACCTTTGGTCATTTTCCGTTCAGGTGTCATGGCACCCGGTCAAGGTGCAGAAAGAGGTACAGCGTCAGTTGTCTTCGGGACTTCCTGGAGATGAAGAAAATTGTATCAGCATTTGTGTGATTGTGTAGGGATTTTTGTATTAAAACTATTCCTAATGGTTTTTATAAGTTATTACACAATATAATATGTTTCTCCTTACAATTTTAAGCCCCAACGAATAAACTCTAACCTCTTACCTCTTTTGAACAGTAAAAATAAAAAACTCCAACCTGAAGGAAACAAGCTTCAAGGAAGAGGAAAATGTAAGTAATGTAAGCATAGGTTGATATGGCCATTACCATAGATAAAACATAGCCCCTTAGTAGATTTCTCATCCTTATTTAACAACTGAAGACAATGTTTAGTTCTCTACGGTGTGCTGAAGAGGTCGTGTTTTGTTTAAAATTTGGTTCTTGTTTCACTAATTTAAAACCTCGTTTAACCAAATTAATCATAAACAATAACTCGTCCCCTAACAGTAAGCACAAATCATGAAAATAACTTAAAATAGAACCAAGATTTCGTCGACACTAGCGCCCAGTGTCGCCGTACATGAACTCTACACGAAAAAACGAGCTTCAAAATTTACAATGTGAAGTCTACTTGTATTGGCTGGTCTATGCCATTACTTACCAAGAAAACAGTTGGTAGCGTTGGAATAGGAAATAAACACTACAATATTTGACATTTGACAACAATGGGATTTGACAGTCTGAGAGAAACTTCAAAACACCACCATTT